GACACTTCAAACAATCTCGCCAAAACTGCCAGTGGTGAGGAATTCTGGGAGCTGCAGTCCAATAAAATGTATAGAGCTTCATGATTCCCATTGTTGATATTGGAATTGATATTTTGTTGCTACTCAGCAACGTAATGTAATGTTTACAAGGAATATGAGCTTGCACATCAGCAATCCACATAGTATCTCTCAGAATTTAGCTTAATTGTAATTTTCCAAGGCCAGCAGATGTAGCATAGTGGCGGCTGGTGGCTCCTACAACATTTAGCCAATGAACCGACTCAGGGTTTTAAGACAGCTTTAAGGAAGCCACTCAAGGTGCTGAATCTATTTTGGAGATATGGTTCAGCACCATGGATAACCCTTTAAAAGTCTGGGCTCGACCTGGGGTTTCATCAACACTCCCCCTTTTCCTACCACCTTCCAAGAATTATTAGATTTCCCCCCCAAATAGTCACATTTGCCTCATGATATGTCCAAAGTATGACATCCTCAGTTTTGTTATTTTCACTTCTAGGAAGAATTCAGGCTTGATTTACTCTAAGAACCTTTCAGATTCCCTCAAAACTCTTTCCCAGCCCCACATGTTAAATGAGTTGATTCCCCCCCCCCCCAGCTTTCTTCACTGTTTCCCAACCATACATAGAAGTCTACTGCCACATGTGATGAAATGGCCCCAACATTCAACTTTCATTTCCAACATTTACTAGAACTGCATGCATATATCTTAGAAAATCTCTCTGGTGTCAAATACGATCTGTACATCATCTTATAAACATTTCCTCCAAATCATTACTCAGAGTAATCTTCATCCACATCTTCTCCCCATGTTCCAACTAAATTAGTGTACTTATATGTGTCCATTTATATGTGTCCATATAGGCTTTCATTTCTTCTTCCTCCATTTCATATTTCAACAGAAAGTTATACATTTTAGCAATCGTATGTCATCACTTGAGCACATTACATTTTCAAATACTGGTTTAAATGTTTCAAATCCAAATTTTAAAAAATCATTCTGTGATTTTAATCTTTGTTCTATATTTAATCTTTTTTCTGTTTTAATATATGTATTTTTATGGTTCTTTGTTTTACCAGTATGTATTTTATCTATGTTACACCTCTATGTTATCTATGTTACACCTCACCTCAAGCCATGAAGAAAGGTGGGTGACACTTCTTCTTCTTCTTCTTCTTCTTCTTCTTCCTATTATTATTATTATTATTTGAAATGCAATAGGATGAGTTCACAGCAGACAAGATCACTCTACTGGGTGTTGTATTGGATCACACGTCAGACACTTTCCAAGTGTCTAGGACTGTATGATGTTTCGGTGAATAATGCGTGCAGATCCCAGTAAGGTGGCCTTCTGCAGCTGGTAGATAGTAATATTGTCAGCACCGACTGTGTTTAAGTGCAGGTCAAGGTCTTTAGGCACTGCACCCAGTGTGCCGATCACCACTGGGACCACCTTTACTGGCTTGTGCCAGAGTCCTTGCAGTTCGATCTTTAAATCCTCACATCGTGTCGGCTTTTCCAGTTGTTTCTCTTCAATCCTGCTGTCTCCTGGGATTGCAACATCAACAATCCATACTTTGTTTTTTAACACGATAGTGAGGTCAGGAGTATTGTGCTCCAAAATGAAGTCATTCTGAATTCGGAAGTCCCAGAGTAGTTTGACGTGTTCATTTTCTGTAACTTTTTCAGGCTTGTGATCCCACCAGTTATTTGTCGCAGACAGATGGTATTTGTGGCACAAGTTCCAATGAATAATCCGAGCAACGATGTTATGCCTCTGCTTGTAATCTGTCTACGCGATCTTCTTGCAGCAGCTGAGGATGTGATCTATTGTTTAATCTGCTTCCTTGCAGAGTCTATATTTGGGATCTGTAGTCAACTTTTCCATTCTGGTTTTGATGGCATTTGTTCTAATGGCTTGTTCTTGGGCTGCCAGAATCAGATCCTCCATCTCCTTTTTCAAAATTCCATTTGTGAGCCACATCTATGTCCCCCCCCCCTCCTCCAAACCACACAACAGAAGAGGGCAACTTGCTCCCTATGAGTGCATCTGTGGTTTTTTTAAAGGTCTTTCCAATATTTAGGGTTACAGACATCCCATCACCTCATTTGGGCCTATGAAATAGTTCACTGTTCTCTCTTCTTCAGATGGATGAAAGAGCATGACCAAGGGTTTATCAAGGGCAGCCAGTAACTTCCAGTGAGCTCCAAACACAGAGGACTCAAACAATGCAACAAACACATTCTCTTTTCTTTTTGGCACAAATGACACTATACCCCTTAAAAATCCAATTCTGATCTGGGCCAAAGTCTTGCCAACATTCACATGTTCACATAGGACAATTCAGGTAGGGTTAGCTTTGTTCTGCAGACTGCAAAACACTGCAGAACTGAAGCCAAGTCAACCTTTGGCTGCAAGTCAAAACTGCATCAAATAGTGAAGGATTAATGTTTACACGGTTGGGACAACAATACTAATGGTAATATTTGCAGCACATAAAAGGAAAAAAAAGATGAGGATGACGAAGAAGGTGGTTAGTTGCCAAGAAGAGCAAACTCTTCCAAAAGGAAAGGGAGGAATGAACAGGAATGAACAGGCTCAGGAGGGACGGAAAAACACCCAGAGCCTATTGTAGATATCAAGGCAATATTTTTGTCACTGTGGGAAAGTATTTTGGTTTTGGAGAGTTTGCTATTGTTTTCCTTTCCATGGATGTCAGTGGACTAGGACAATGAAATTGGATAAGAAACATATGTGAATGGGGCAGACCTTGGAAAATTGCTTTTTAAAGTTTTAAACTACAACTCCATTGCTATCATTTCATTATTGCAAGATGATTCTGGGAATTACAGTACAAAAATAATGTTTACGAGGTCCAATTAAAAGACAACAAAATCCATCAAATCCATCAAATCCCTTTAATGTGGATCTCCAGTTTGTGTAATCACCATCTAGGCTTCAAAATGGACTGCCTATGTAGTCATCTTCACGGCAAAAACACTTACTTTAAATCTGGGTTGAAACTGCATTAAATGGTCAGTGTAGATGGGCCCTCAGTGTCAGAAAACCTATGATGTTTAGGACCTATGAGCTCAACCAAGAGCCATTGACCAGAGCATATAAACCTATTCACTCAGCCTTTTACTAAATCTGTGTATGCTTCATTTTGATCCCAGAGATGTTTGAACAAATCAAACTAGTCAGCGTGGACATTTCCAAATCTGAATTCCATTTTGGCATCAAGATATAATGTTCCTTCTCCTGCCATCCAATGGAAAATCAATGCTGGTTTGAAACTCCATTAAATTGTCAGTGTGGATGTGTCCACAGTTGCCATCTACTGTAAATAGGTATGTTAATAGGTTTCAAATTATTTTAACTATTTATTTTTAATAGTTTCATTGTTTAATTCTATTTTAGTGTTTGTATGTTTTTTAAGGTTTTAACTGTACTGTTTTTAGTGTTGTTAACTACTTTGACTCCCTTTGTAGAAAGATAGAAAGCAGAACAGCAGCCAACACACATTTTGGTGCCTAAAATATTAGCGGCTGTTAGGAATTGTGGGAGTTGAAGTCCAAAACACCTGGAGAGCCAAAGTTTGTCCATGCCTGCTCTATCAGCTCTAGTTTGTGAACAGAAGCTATACACCACCCATCACTTTGCTAGCCCATGAAGTATCTGGATATTTTAATGCAGTGCTTAAAGTAATCTTTTAAGCATATGAAACATTAAAAGTTTACTACACAAAAATCTAGTTATTTCTCAGATTTATGTTACAAACTTCCCATTATAAATTCATCCATATCTACAAAACTATAGCTGATGCAGTCTATCCAATGCAATTTTCTGAATCATTGCCCCAAATAACCCCAGCAATAGGCCTAAAAACCAAAACACCTAGAAAAAAATGTTTTTTGTTGTTGAGCTGTGTAGAAATAATAATAATCATCATCATCATCATAGAATCATGGAGTTGGAAGAGACCTCCTGGGCCATCCAGTCCAACCCCCTGCCAAGAAGCAGAAAATTGCATTCAAAGCACCCCCAACAGATGGCCATCCAGCCTCTGCTTAAAAGCCTCCAAAAAAGCCTCACACACTCTAGGGCAGAGAGTTCCACTTCTGAACAGTTCTCAAAAGGAAGTTCTTCCTCATGTTCAGATGGAATCCCCTTTCTTGTAGTTTGAAGCCATTGCTCTGTGTCCTAGTCTCCAGGACAGCAGAAAACAAGCTTGCTCCCTCCTCCCTATGACTTCCTCTCACATATTTATACATGGCTATTATGTCTCCAGGAGCCCCCGGTGGTGCAGTGGGTTAAAGCGCTGAGCTGCAGAGCTTGTTGACCGAAAGACCGCAGGTTCGATTCCGGGGAGTGGCATGAGCTCCCGCGTTAGCCCCAGCTTCTGCCAACCTAGCAGTTCGAAAACATGCAAATGTGAGTAGATCAATAGGTACCACTCCGGTGGGAAGGTAACGGCGCTCCATGTAGTCATGACCTTGGAAGTGTCTATGGACAACGTTGGCTCTTCGGCTAAGAAATGGAGATGAGCACCACACCCTAGAGTCAGACATGACTGGACTTAATGTCAGGGGACAACCTTTACCTTATTATGTCTCCTCTCAGCCTTCTCTTCTTCCGGCTAAACCTGCCCAGCTCTTTGAGCCGCTCCTCATAGGGCTTGTTCTCCAGACCCTTGATAAATGTATTTATTATTGATTGATGTTTTGAAATTTTTATTATTTGACACAAAATAAATATTTTTATTATTTCATTTATTTATTCATTATTTTATTTATTTATTTAATTATTGATCAAAATATTTCGTTGGCCTCCTCTGGACACATTCCAGCTTGTCAGCAACACTTTGAGAATATATAAAGAAAGAGCAACACCACTCAGCTCTCTCTCGGTTCATTCCCTCTCAAGAATCCACTCCTGGCTTTATCCAGAGCTGAAAATTAATCCCACATTTCCCATTGTTTCCAGTAAGCATCCTTGCCTTTCTGTTTTGGAGGCAGGAATTTGGGAGAAGTGCCTTCGTTTCCAGGGGCGTCTTCCATTTGAGAGCAATACAGGAAGGGAGGCGTGTCTCCCGGCGGGGGAGCATGGCCTAGACATCCTTCTCTCTCGGGCTGAGGAGGTACACAGCCAGCTTCTTCTCCCAGTCTCCCCGCAGCACTACACTTCCCAGGAGGCAAAGGAGGCGGGCGCATGCGCGTTGAGCAGCTCCACTATGGCCACGGTGCTGTCCCGGGCGCTGAAGCTGCCAGGTAAGGAAGGGGCCTGGGACGCCGTGGGAGGCGGGCGAGGGGGGAGCCGAGCCGCGTGGTTGCCGCCGTGAGCTTTTGGGTTGGATGGGATTGGATGCGTACATGACAGATAGCGGGGTGTGTGGACTGACTCCCCTCTCTCTCCGCCAACATCCGGGTCCCGGCAGGTGCTCCTCATCCCTGGCCGCGAAGGCGCAGAGATGCTGCTGCTGTTTGTCAAAGCGGATGTCGAGGCGGAGAGGGATGGGAGGGGGAGGGGTTGTCATGGCAACGGAGCCTTGCCCCCAGTGCTTCCTGGGAAGGGAAGGGAAGGGGCCAAACATCTGTGAGGGGGAGGGAGAGAAAGTTGCCTCTTCAGGGTAGAAGGGAGGCAGTTTGTGGCACCACTTTACCAGCTGTGGAGTACTGGGAGGAGTAGTTTTGTAAGGTCTTTATGGCCATGTTACTCCCAGGATGCCATAGCAGTTGAAAGTGGTGTCAGATTTCATTCATTCTCTAGTGTAGATGCACCCAAGGAGGGCCTGTGCTTTGTTTTTTTTTTTTTTTGCTGTTCTGGAATCTCTGTCCTGAACTGTGTTACTCTAAGTCAGGCATGGGCCAACTTGGGCCCTCCAGGTGTTTTGGACTTTAACTAACACAATTCCTAACAGCTTCAGGCCCTTTCCTTTTTCCCCTCAGCCCTCTGGGTGTTTTGGACTTCAACTCCCACAATTCCTACCAGCCTCAGGCCCTCTCCTTTCCCCCCTCAGCCATCTGGGTGTTTTGGACTTCAACTACCACAATTCTTAACAGTTCCGGCCCTTTCCTTTTCTCCCTCAGACATCTGGGTGTTTTGGACTTCAACTCCCACAATTCCTAACAGCCTCAGGCCCTTTCCTTTTCCCCCACATCCCTCTGGATGTTTTGGACTTCTAACTCCCTCAATTCTTAACAGCCTCAGGCCCTCTCCTTTTCCCCCTCAGCCCTCTTGGTGTTTTGGACTTCAACTCCCACAATTCCTACCAGCCTCATGCCCTTTCCTTTTCCACCTCAGCCCTCCGGGTGTTTTGGACTTCAACTCCCACAATTCCTACCAGCCTCAGGCCCCTTTCCTTTTTCACAGCCCTCTGGGTGTTTTGGACTTCAACTCCCACAATTCCTACCAGCCTCAGGCCCTTTCCTTTTCCACGTCAGCCCTCCGGGTGTTTTGGACTTCAACTCCCACAATTCCTACCATCCTCAGGCCCCCCCCTCCTTTTTCACAGCCCTCTGGTGTTTTGGACTTCAACTCCCACAATTCCTAACAGCCTCAGGCCCTTTCCTTTTCCCCGTCAGCCCTCCGGGTGTTTTGGACTTCAACTCCCACAATTCCTAACAGCCTCAGGCCCCTTCCTTTTCTCCCTCAACCATTTGAGCTGAAGGATTGTGGGAGTCAAAGTCCAAAACACCTGGAGGGCCCAAGTTTGCTCATGCCTGCTTTAAGTGGATAAGAATATCATAGAATCATAGAATCATAGAATCAAAGAGTTGGAAGAGACCTCATGGGCCATCCAGTCCAACCCCCTGCCAAGAAGCAGGAATATTGCATTCAAATCACCCCTGACAGATGGCCATCCAGCCTCTGCTTAAAAGCTTCCAAAGAAGGAGCCTCCACCACACTCCGGGGCAGAGAGTTCCACTGCTGAACAGCTCTCACAGTCAGGAAGTTCTTCCTAATGTTCAGATGGAATCTCCTCTCTTGTAGTTTGAAGCCATTGTTCCGCGTCCTAGTCTCCAAGGAAGCAGAAAACAAGCTTGCTCCCTCCTCCCTGTGGCTTCCTCTCACATATTTATACATGGCTATCATATCTCCTCTCAGCCATCTCTTCTTCAGGCTAAACATGCCCAGTTCCCTAAGCCGCTCCTCATAGGGCTTGTTCTCCAGACCCTTGATCATTTTAGTCGCCCTCCTCTGGACACATTCCAGCTTGTCAATATCTCTCTTGAATTGTGGTGCCCAGAATTGGACACAATATTCCAGATGTGGTCTAACCAAAGCAGAATAGAGGGGTAGCATTACTTCCTTAGATCTAGACACTATGCTCCTATTGATGCAGGCCAAAATCCCATTGGCTTTTTTTGCCGCCACATCACATTGTTGGCTCATGTTTAACTTGTTGTCCACGAGGACTCCAAGATCTTTTTCACACGTACTGCTCTCGAGCCATCACCCATTCTGTATCTTTGCATTTCATTTTTTCTGCCAAAGTGGAGTATCTTGCATTTGCCACTGTTGAACTTCATTTTGTTAGTTTTGGCCCATCTCTCTAATCTGTCAAGATCGTTTTGAATTCTGCTCCTGTCCTCTGGACTATTGGCTATCCCTCCCAATTTGGTGTCGTCTGCAAACTTGATGATCATGCCTTCTAGCCCTTCATCTAAGTCGTTAATAAAGATGTTGAACAGGACCGGGCCCAGGACGGAACCCTGCGGCACTTCTTTCCAAGATGAAGAGGAAGCATTGGTGAGCACCCTCTGTTCGTCCATTTAACCAATTACAGATCCACCTCACCGTAGTTTTGCCTAGCCCACATTGGACTAGTTTCCTTGCCAGAAGGTCATGGGGGACCTTGGCGAAGGCCTTACTGAAATCCAGGTACGCTACATCCACGGCATTCCCCGCATCTACCCAGCTTGTAACTCTATCGAAAAAGAGATCAGATTAGTCTGGCATGACTTGTTTTTGATAAATCCATGTTGACTATTAGCGATGACCGCATTTGTTTCTAAGTGTTTGCAGACCGCTTCCTTAACAATCTTTTCCAGAATCTTGCCCGGTATCGACGTGAGGCTGACCGGAGTATATGATAGAGTATTCATGTATTTCAATATATGCATTTTTTTAAATGTATTGTATGGTTATGATGTATTTTAACTCTGTGGTGCCCTGCCTCTAGCCATAAGAAGAAGCGGGTAACAAATTATTATTATTATTATTATTATTATTATTATTATTATTAGTAGTAGCAGTATACCTATCCAATGTATTCTGTTTTTGAAGTTTTAACAAAGTGAAGTATTCCTTCATTATTGAAATGCTTGGGACCAGAAGTCTTTTGGATCTCACCCCCATGAATTTTGGAATTCAGGCAATCCCTGAGTTACAAACATCTACCTTACAAATGACTCACAGTTAAGAACAGGGCTGAGACAACATGAAGTGAGAGAACTCTATCCCTCGGAAGGGAAAGTCACTCTCAAAAGATTTGTCATGGGGAAAAGGTGTTTCCACTGAAGCTTTATCACCAATCCTTGTTTTCATAACAAGCCATTTTTTTTTCAAACTCCAGTTATCAGAGAGACAGAAAGTAAAGTGAAAACTTCTGAACAAGAGCACAGACAGCAAAAGAAACATCACAGGGGTGTTAACCCTTCCCTATGCTATTCAAAGTATTCTCTCTCTCTCTCTCTCTGGCTGGAGTTATACTTCAAAAATGTACCTGTTCTAACTTACATACAAATTCAGCTTAGAAACACACATAACTTGGGGACTGCCTGTATTCTATCTCTGTAATTTTTTTTTACAAAGATGAGAAGTTAAGATGAATTATACCTCTCTTATCTGATCTGAGGTGCAAGTCAAGTATTCCTTCCTCTGAAATGTTCTTGGAATATTTGTATTTGTAAACATTTACAAGACATCTTTGAGGTGGGACTCCAGTTTAAACACAAAATTCATTTATGTTTCATATACTTCTGCATGTAGCCTGAAGGCTGTTTTATTCACAAGGTTTTAAAAATAATTTTGAACGTGAAACAAAGTTTGTGCACATTGAACCATCAGAAAGCAAAGGTGTTGCTATCTTAGCCAGTCATGTGGACGTTTTGGAGTTTTTTCAAAATTTGGTATTTTATGAAAGATTTCCCGAAAGAAATTGTGACAAGATTTCTTTTTGTTGTTCTTAGGATTTGTAAAGTTATGACTCAAATACATATGTAATACATAGGGTTTGTTTCCATTCTCAGTATGTACTAAAATGGTACTATCCCTCTATTCTGTTTAAATTTTTTAAAAAAGTTTTTGGAATTGATATTACCCCATTCTGTTTTATCTAGTTTAGCTCTTCTATCATGTTTCATACAATAAATATCTTGTGCTTAAATAGTTTGTGACGGTCTAATAAAAGATTGATTGGTTGATTTATTTGATGGGAGAAACTTGAGGACAGGATTGCAACTGGAAAAGGGACATGTCTTTGTGGTGCACTTACTCCATGAAATTAATGCAGTTTGATGCCAGTTTAACTGCTGTGGCTATGCAATCATAAGAGTTGTAGTTTTACAAGTTTTACTGCCTTCTGTTCCAAAGAGTCCTGGTGTTTCCCCAGACTAGAATTCTCAGGATTCTATAGTATTGAGCCATGGTAGTTAAAGTGTAAAACTGCATTAATTTTACAGTGTAGATCCACCCTGTGTGTGTGTGTGTGGTCTTCAATCGTCTGGTCCATATTTGAGGAAAAGTCAAAGACACACTATCCGACAATCGTCAACATTGAGGATATGAGAAGTTCACCTAAGGAATTACTTGCTGCCAAAGCATATACACATAATTCAGCCTCAACCCTGGTGTCAGCATAGTGTAGTGTATCTACTTGCCTTGGTACCTTCTTCCTCTTCTAAACTCCTGGAGCTTTCTCTGTAATTAAGTAATTGTTATTTTAAGCCTTTCACAGTTGAGTCAAAGAGCTCATCAAGCTATGTAGCTAGGGTAATTAATAAGACATTCCTTCTCACATCTTGGCATATGTTGGCCTGTATTTTCTGGTGCTCTAGTCACTCCACTTAACCTGTTTGTCATCTTATGCATTTTAATTGGTGCAAAGGTTGAAACCCTGCATACAGAAGTAGAGACAATGGTTTGAAGTTAATCGAGTGGCAAGTTTGTTAATTCTTTTTCAAGTAAAGGGAGAGCAAAGGATTCTCACAGAAACACAGTATTATCTGTCATCTGAGCCAGAGTTTCTTAAAATCTTTTCCACTTTCCTTTCTTCTCAAGAAATTTTGACATGACCCCAGGTATATAGGTATATAAAATAGGTATAAAATCAAACATTTACTTATAGTAAATCAGTGTTTGCAATGCTTGCTACATGCTGGTTTTTCTTGTTATGAAGTACAGCTGAAGCATCTTACAGAGTCTATTGGAAACACTGTTGCTGACAGATTTGTATAAATGGGCCCAAATTTTTATGACCCCAACATTGAACTAAGGGGAGACCATTTGGGGTCAGGACCCAACGTTGAAGAAGCAGTGATCTAAGCCTCCTGAAAATGATGGTTTTAGCAAAAAAGTTGCATGTGCCTCTAATTTCAGTGCATATATTGTACAAAAATCTATATAAGAAATAGGTATTTTTAAGTGATTTTTTTTACTGTATTCCAAAATACAGTGATTTTTGATAACGTATTACAGAGGCATGATAACAGTTCATGGTGCAACTGATTTGGGGTTCTTTTCAAACTCAGAAGGAAAAAAATACAGTAAAACAGACAGATGGTCATTACCAGCTGGTAAGATAAAATTGCACTTAAGAATGTGACTTTATGGGATTTTTTTTACATTTAGATCTTAAATTTGGTGATGGTTAGAAATAGGATTCTAGCTCTGAGAGGTGTCGTTTGTAAGGCAAGGATGAAAACTGAACTTAGAATTGAAAAAAAAATACAAATGGTTTATAGAAATTATAAAATTCTACTTAAAGCAGCTGTTCTTCCATTTACCATACAGGCTTATTCATTAATGAAAGAGTTATGTGTGTGTGTGTTTAAATTGTTTAAAACCCAAAGTGTTCTCTTTTTCTTATAACCTCAGGTAAGATAGCATGTACTGAAAAGAGAAAGACTTTTGTGAACACTTATTTTGCTTACTACAGCTTAAGTTGAAGGTTTGTGGAAGCTGTCATACAGAAATCAAGACCTTAATGCAGGATATAAAAGAAAGAATGCTTGCATTTCCTTTTAAACTCTATGTCTTTTAATCCTTTTTAAAGTAGTAAGCCTAAGGACAGAACATGTTTCTTGTTAATAATTTTATAAGCTGCTGTAGAAGCCTTTTTTTGCTGGCTTCTATAATAATTTGTTATTGTTCCTATTAACAATAATTTGTTAATAGAACGATAACAGTATCAACTATTATTATTCATTTCATTTTATAGTCAGGGGGCCCTACATCATACAGTTACAGGTGTGATAACACTTCCCTATGCAATCCAAAGTGTGTGTGTGTGTGTATGTATGTATATATGGCTGGAGTTACACTTAAAATTGTATCTGTTCTGACTTACATACAAACTCAACTTAAGAACAAGCCCACAGAACATGTCTTGCTTGTAACATGGGGACTGCCTGGATTTGGCTAACATGAAAGGGTTCTAAAGTGACTTGAACTGCCTGCTAAGGTGAGAAGCCTAGAGCTTGTTCTCAGTATCGATTAGAGTAGACCAAGTGAATTATAATAAATATTGATTTACCAAATGTCCATTGATTTGGTGCATTTACTCTAGTTGAGACTAACAGATTTAATCTGGAATCTTGCATGCCTTTCAAACAAAAATAAAAAAGCAAGGAAAGGGTTCATTGTCGGAGATCAGGATGATGTAGAATGATGATCCATCAGAAGAAAGGGATCTATTGTTTCAACATTTTGCTTTTTCATTTTTTTCTATCTTGTCCTTGACTTTGCTGCAGAGTAGCAACCAGGTCTTCACAAGGTTAAAAACTATAATAATTAACTGCTTGGCTGGTAGACAAGCACAGTACCCATTGCTTCAATTCATTTAATAACATCCACATACCTGATCATTATAGGAAATGGAGTACAAACATCAGCTTAGGCTATAACATAGGTGTTAGGTTTCAGGGTGTCCCAAGAAACCTATTTTTTTTTCTACAGCAAAATAACAGCCCCGTTCTGGAAACTAGTTTATCCTGTAGCCTCTGTAATCAAGTGTTACTCCCAGTTGTCTTCTCCTTCCCTCTTTAAATAATTTCTATGTTCACATCTTTCTTTTTAAATTTCCAGCCAAATGGGTTCCCTTCCTTTGCCCATAGATTAAAAATACACACATGTGCTTGCATGCAAACTACCCTTTCCCCCTCCAGCGTAGACAAGAAATACCTTTAATCCCATCTGTCTTTCTCAAGGGAAAAATTGCATCCCCACTTTTATAGAAATTGGTCACTGATTAAGGTGTGGTCTATCCATGCAGAAGGATGAGATTGTAAAATATTGAACTGGCAGAATGGCATGTAGTACTTCAAACACATGATTACATGTTTAAAACAAAATAGTCTTGAAGGAAAACTTTTTTGTGGAGTTGCTTGGATTAGAACGTTTCCTTGATGTGATATGTTTGAAATTTCACTACTTCCAAGAACAACTTTTTAACAAATGAAATTCCAGAAAACAGAACACTTTTCTCCTTTACCTATTGTTAGTGCTTAGAACTTGGCTACCTCACTTCTGTTATGGTGTATATAATGGCACACATAAGACCAACCCAGAGACCATTAAAGCAAGCATGGCTCCAATTTGGATGAAAAAGAGCTGCTGGAAGCATGAAGAGAATACCGTTAAGATTGGAGGTTAGGAAATTTACTTTTCTAGAAAACAGCTCTCAGAATCCCCCTGGGTTAGAAGTAATTTTCCAGGCACTGAATTAAAGCAACTGTACCAAAATGGTAAATCAGAAATTGGGAACCTGTGATGTACCCCTTCTGGCTTGCCCAGTCTGTTGGCTTTTTTGCTTGCTGACTTGTTTTTCAGGAGATCAGCTCAGCAGCAACTCTTTTCTCTGCTGCTTAACCAGTTCACAAGAAACAGCTTAGAAGTGGGGAAACTGGAAGGGCACAATGCCAGTGCAAGAAAAGATTACTATTTTCACATCATCAGCTAATGGCATTTCTTCAGGATAGCGGAAAAGAGGGCTTCCTTTTCTCAGTGGGCTGTGGAAGTAGAAATGCAGGAATGGAGAAAGCTGCATTGCCAGCTCAGTCTTATTCCCTTCTGAACCTTGTTCTCCTCATTTCTTAGCTCTATTCCATGATAAGCTGAACAGCTGGGTTGAAGAGGAGGGCTTTAGAAAGACAGTAAATGGAAGGATGAGAAGTAGGACCGGACAATGAAGGTGACAAGGGACAGACAAAATGGGGTGATGGGTAGTGGGAATCATAGAGTTGGAAGAGACCACAAAGGGCATTCATCCAGTCCAACCTCCTGCCATTTACATAGGAGACTCCACCACAATCCAAGGTAGCCTATTCCACTGTCGAACAGAGGAAATTATTCTTAATGTTTAGGTGGAATCTCTTTTACTGCATTTGAACACATTCGTCATTGTCCTAGTCTCTAGAGCTGCAGAAAACAAGTTTGATCCCTCCTTAATGTGACATCCTTTCACATTTTTAAACATTGCTGTCATGTCCCCTCTCAGCTTTCTCTTCTCCAAACTAAGTATACCCAGTTCCCTAAACTGTTCCTTATAAGTCTTGGCTTCAAGACCTTTGGCTATTTTGGCCATCCTGGGCACATTGTAGGTTGTCAATATTTTTCTTTAATTGTGTCCATTTTGAAAGACAATGACAAGTATGTCCAAATGAGGGTTGAATGCATAGTCATGCTATGTGACAAGGTAAATGTGTGGGCTTATCCTTAAAAACAACATCCCCATCCCCACTGTAACTGTTTGTTACTAGAGCACAGAAGAGTTACTTTCTTAGATTGCAAATCCCAGAATTCCCTAGCCAGCTGGGCCAATGAGTCCTCTGGTTATTAATAATGGGGACTGGATCCTTTCTTCACTCTGAGAAAACATGTATAAAGGCAGATCTGAGTGTTTGATTGGTGCTAATATCTAGAATATTTTTAAATACGAGTAGCTATGTATTGGTAGGGATTGTTGACATGTTCCTTGAAAGGCACTGCGCCCAAACACGAATCAAGGAACATGAAAGGCACTGCAGACTTCTTCAACCAGAGAAGTCAGCCATAGCAGAGCACCTGATGAACCAACCTGGACACAGCATATTATTTGAGAACACAGAAATGCTGGACCACTCTAACAACCACCATGTCAGACTACACAGAGAAGCCATTGAAATCCACAAGCATGTGGACAATTTCAACAGAAAGGAGGAGACCATGAAAATGAACAAAATCTGGCTACCAGTATTAAAAAAAACTCTAAAATTACTACAGCAAAACAGCAGAGAGGAAACAACCAGGCACATCTTAACACCTCTCAACAGAACATTTTCCCAGGCTCAGCCAAGCCTTCAAATGCTAATGAAGGTGGTCAGCTGAAACATTCACACCTAGCTTCAGCAGAGAGCTCTTTGCCCCACCCCAGTCATTCCACAGATATATAAACCCATTTTCCTAATTCCAACAGACCTCACTACCTCTGAGGATGCTTGCCATAGATGCAGGCGAAACGTCAGGAGAAATGCCTCTAGAACATGGCCCTATAGCCCGAAAAAACCTACAAGAACCTAGTGATTCCAGCCATGAAAGCCTTCGACAATACATTTGTTCTGATTTCTTATTGTTCTCCTCCCATGGGTATGTCAATCACCAAAAAAGGGATTTCACTTTCATTCAGATTGTTTTTAAGGGCCCCGAGTCTGCAAATGGTTCTTTAGCACACCCTATCACATCAGTGAACAACTGGTTATTTCTCCCCATCTTTCTTTCTAGGCAAGAAGAGCCCAGATCTTGGGGAATATGATCCTCTCACCCAGGCTGACAGTGATGAAAGCGAAGATGACCTGGTGCTCAACTTGCAGAAGAATGGTGGGGTCAAAAATGGGAAGAGTTCCCTGGGGGAAGTGCAGGATGTGGACTCAGATGTGGAAGTTGGGATGACAAAGCAGCACCTGTCGGAGGGTACGGCAGAGGAATATCCCAGTGAGGCCAGCAATAGCCTGGAGCTGAAGACGGCGAACTCCTTGATGCCTTACTTCCGCACGGCCATCTTTTTGCTCACGGTGGTGATCTCTATGATACTCGTGTTGGTGTGTGCCTTCCTTATTCCTTGTCCTGCGAGAGACTTGCATAACACTTGGGTTCGTAACTTGGGTCAGGAGGCAGGTAAGGAAATACCCGAAAGGGCAACCACTGTCTTGGCCTGGAGAATGTACTTTTTTATAAAGAAATCTTTAAATATTATACATAACCATAATTACCATGCTTTTTTCCTTTTTCATTCCCTTCTCCCTCCCCACACCCACCCCTCCCCCCTGTTGACAACGTCATCTTTTTGTTTCCTGTTACATGGCCTTCTTTCCATTCTATCCTATTTTTTTTCCACCTCCTACTATCCCATAGCAAGTTTGGTTGTTAACCATTCCGGCTGGTGAATGCTGTGTGTTGGCAGTTAAAATGGTGTCAACTGCATTAATTCTACAGTGTAGAGAAGTGGTTCTCAACCTTCTTAATGCTGCGACCCCTTAATACAATTCTTCATGTTGTGGTGACTTCTAACCATAAAATTATTTTTGTTACTACTTCATAACTGTAATTTTGCTACTGTTATGGATTGTAATGCAAATGTCTGATATGCAGGATGTACGAGGGTGGGTCAAAAAGTTTTGCCTCCTGTGTCATAAAAACATTATGGATGAACATATAACAGCAGAAGTTGCTCTAGATCAGTGGTTCTCAACCTGGGGTCCCCAGATGTTTTTGGCCTTCAACTCCCAGAAATCCCAACAGCTGGTAAACTGGCTGGGATTTCTGAGAGTTGTAGGCCAAAAATATCTGGGGACCCCAGGTTGAGAACCACTGCTCTACACAGAACTACCTTTCCTCTACACAGAACTACCTTTCAGGATAGTCACCATCAATTTGTACACATTTGCACCATCGCTTAACCCAGGCATCCAAACCATTTTGGAAAAATTCAGGATTTTGCTTCATGACCCATGATTGTAAATCTGTTTTAACATTATTCAGTGTCAGACTACACAGAGAAGCCAGAGGTCACCTGAAAGACAACCTACATGGTTTCAGATTCAATGACTTGAATGATGTTAAAGGAAGAGAAGAGATCTTTGGCCTTCTCTGCCAAAGGGGTTCCTAAGGCCATCAGAAATATGTGTTTTCGGATGGTCTCTGGTGACCCCTCACGACCCACCCAGGGGTCCTGACCACCAGGTTGAGAAACATTGGCGTAGAGCAAGCCCCAGATGTAGTTAAAGAAATAGCTACAACTATAGCAAGGTTTAAGATCTGAGACATAAGTATGGTTTTCATACTTTCCTCTTCCTTCTTTTTTTCACACAACTCTGTTCCTGAAGTTTATATTGCTTCTAATCTTAAAATGCATCAAATTACTTTGTTTGTGCGCTATCAACTGTATCTATTTAACAGCAACATTTCATTTCAATATAAGAAAACTGAAGCCACATCCAATTGTGCCAAACCAACAGTAGATTCCTACAAACTTCTTACACAGAATTAACTTGAAGTTCAATAGAATTTGAAATGTATGCAAGTTGTAATCTGCACAGTTCCCCCCCCCCCCCTTCTGAATAATAAAAATGTGAGGTAAATCCAGGGTTAAAATTTCTATTCAGACGGAGATCAGCCTGTTTAAATAGTTAGATAACTAATGAGAATGTGCTTATCTTTTGGAAGTAATTGACCCACACGTGGGAAGGACCTTCACGTGGAAACTTGATTAAATCTAATGACTTGAATAGAAATACTCCAGTTGATGAGTTAAACTGCTGAATTAAGTTTCTTTAAGTCAATCCACTCTCCTAGGAGATTAAACGGTTATCCAATTTTGTATCTTATGTTCTTTCACTACTAAAAGAAAATTCTGATTTTACTTGTTCCTCTGTAGTTAGTAATATCATTTTTATATGCCATTTTCTCCCCTAACAATGATACCACGTTTCTTTCTGAATTCCCTCTTCCCCCCACCCCTGCTTTAGAACCATACCAAAATGGCAGAATTGATTTTTTTACAACATCTTCCTATTTCTTATTTCATGTTTAAGAGGATTTGGTTTTGCAGACAGAAGGTCTCTGGGTCAGGCCCCTTCCACACAGCTGGATAAAATCCCATTTTGGAATATATGGCCGTGTGGACTCAGATAACCCAGTTTAAAGCAGATATTGTGGGATTTTCTGCCTTGATATTCTGGGTTATAGGGCTGTGTGGAAGGGCCTTTGGTCCACAGCATCTCCAGGGGCCCTTCCACACAGCCCTATATTCCAGAATATCAAGGCAGAAATTTCCACAATATCTGCTTTGAACTGGGTTATCTGCTTTGAACTGGGTCTGCACTCAGATAATGTGGGATTTTCTGCCTTGATATTCTGGGATATAGGGCTGTGTGAAAGAGCCCCCAGTATTTATTATTTATTATTTATTTACAGTTCTTATATTCCGCCCTTCTCACCCCGCAGGGGACTCAGGGCGGATTACAGTAAACACATATATGGCAAACATTCAATGCCAGTTTGACAAACAACATTTAACACACAAATACACTGAGGCTATTTAACTTTTTTTTCTGGCCGCCAGGGGAGCTGCTGCTTTTCATCGTCCATCAACGACACCGATGAAGTTCTTCCGCATTCCACATTCCCCGGAGTCTTTTTTCTTTATGGCCTCATAAATTAGTTAAATTTAGCCTCCCACACAAGGTGGTACCTTATTTTCCTACTTGACAGATGCAACTGTCTTTCGGGTTGCAAAGGTCGACAACGGGCTACACAATGGCTGGACACCCACTCCAGCCCGGGCTGGCTTCGAACTCATGACCTTTTGGTCAGAGTGATCTTAATGCAGCTGACACTCAGCCAGCTGCGCCACAATCCCGGTGCTGTAGGGCTGGGAAGGAATCCTTCCTGAAATCTGAGAAAGCTGTTGACCAGGCATAAGATACATGGGGTACCATAAAAACAGCAGCTCTGTAAAACAGTCTTGTTTTAGAATGGATAGTTAAGGAGTGAAATCAAGGATATCTTGGAACCATACAATCCTTGAAATGTCTTCTGTGGCCAAAATCCACATGCTTTTTTATAGGCTTCTAAATTAAGGTATTAAGGTTTCGGCGAGAATATCATGTTTTCCACCCTCATGTAGAAATTCGTTGGGTGTAATGGAAGTCTAAATACACTACACAGGTCAACAATTTTCTTTCTTTTTAGGCCTGTTTCTGGGATTATTTTGGCAGTGATTCAGAACATTGCATTGGATATATCATATCAGCTCTAGTTTCTTAGATATAGTTATGATTTTCTATGGATGAGTAGATGGCAACTGGTATATGGCATATATTATATCAATCAAAAACTAGAACTGATAGAGAAACCCAGTGCCATTTTTGGAATCAGCAAGTCAGATATCTCCAGAAACAGGGCTAACATTTGAGCCACCAAAATGTGTGTTGGCCAATGCTGTCTGAGGGATTCTGGGAGATGCAGCTTAATGTTTCCATGATCAGATTTTTAGATAATTTGAGAAAGATTTTGGATAGCTGAGAAACTTCTTTTATTTTTCAGGTGGGGTGCTGTTTCCACCTGAACTTTTTGATGTCAATGGTGATGGTCTTCCTGATATCCTGCTCTCTTTTACAGCTCTGAAAAATGCCAGTGTGCTGGGTAAGAATAAAGATCCTTAGAGCTAACCCTCAAACTAATGATATGAGGTTTCTTTGTATTGTTGGCATGTGCCTTCAAGATGACTCTGACTTATGGTGAACCAATCAGAAGGTTTTGTTAATAATATTTATTCAGAGGAGATTAGCTATTGGCTTCCTCTTACTGAGAGAGTATGAAACTGGGTTTCCCAGTTTCCATGACAGAAGTGGGTTTTGAACCCTGGTCTCCTGGAAAATTAGTTTAATACTCAAACCATTATGCTGGCGCTCTTTCTCTGTTTACTGTCAGACATTTCCTCTGAACACAGTTATATGCTTTTATTCTACAATACTGACTTCTTTCATTGGTCGATGCTGATCATGATATATTTGTTAGCCTGAATATTTGTCGTTGTTCTTGGGTGCCTTCAAGTCATATAGTGACCCCCAAGTGAACTGATCATGGAGTTTCCTGGGCTGGATTTATTCAGAGGTGGTTTATCATATTCTTCCCCTGGATACTATTACAGCTGGCTCATGTCCATGGGATTCTGCGCTCTCAGCTTCAAAATGTATTTTTTAATTCAAAATGTGAAGCTTGAGTTTGCCATTTTATGTAAGAGACGCCATTTTATTATGCCATTTCATATAGTGGAACTTGAGCATCTCTGCTGTTGCTTTTTTTTTTACATTTTGTTACTTTTTTACATTCTGTTACATTTAAAAATTATATTGCGTGTGTATTACATTTTTTGAAACTAGTTTACCTTCTCGCTCCTACAGTATCATTTGAGTCCAAGAATGTATGCCAAGACCATAGGACAAGGCACAAGGCACACATCCCATACCATTTATAATCCTTTATAAGGATTGTTTTAATGAACCATCATTAAGACAATCCTTATAAAGTTGACATCCTTCTCATTGTGCTTATTTTATGATAATTTAGAAACTTTTAAATTATAATTCAGCAGTTCTTTTTTGGAGCACTGAAATGAAAACAAAAGATTGTAACAAGTGTGATACAGGAAGTTTTGGACGGCCATAGAAATCCACTTCAGACATTTCCTTTACATAACGTATACTAAATTTCCCCATTGTGTTTTGCTTCGTCACTGATTTTACCTCACATTTAAAAAGGAAGCCAACATACATACAGCTATGTATGCACACCCTCTCATTTCAGACCTTATTCCAAATGTGTGAAGGTCAAGAGTAGAGGGCTGTATAGGAACAAAATGCCTTGAGGGTAGTACTTTCTGCCTCACTTCATGCCATCTCTAAACATGGAGAAGATGAATGAAAGAAGACAAATTAGATGCTTTTCAAGTGTAATCCCTAAACAGCATAGCTATTGGTTGAGTTGTACCTCAATATACTTGAAGCCTGTCAGGATGGCAAACGTGGGTATAAAGCACCACCATATCCAAAGAGAAGATGTAGTTATTTGTGCATTTCTGATAAAATAAACCTTTACCTCTAGATTGAATGTGGGTAGACATGGCAAATTTGTCAGAAAATTGGTCAAAGAATATCCAGGTCACTAATTTAGGCCAAAGAATTGTTATACCCAAAGCATTTTGGGAGCTCTGGTCTGAAAAAGTAACTTTTCTTAGCTCTGGAGGAGACATTTGCGCTTCCGTTTAGAGTTTGTCATGCCCTCATTGGTAAGAAAACCTCAACCTCTGTCAGGGACTGTTAAGCTCTATTTTATTTATGTGATTAATCCATTTAATAAATATTTAAACATTCATAAACCATACTGTTCATCTCAGGAAAACTCAGCGAAGCAGCAGAGGGGAAAGAGTGGCAACAAATCTCTTCGATTGATGTGGTAAAAGATTTTGAGGAGGGCCTGTTCCCTTGGGCCTCTGCTGCCAGCCTGAGGATGAATAAGCTTGTTTTCTTAATTATCTGATCATTGGCACAGTAGTTACAAGCTGTGAAAAACATCACTAAAGCTTGTAACTTAGCTTTACATTTGGAGACCTGGAAATGTTTGAGTTCTGTTCAAATTGATGTCTTGTCTTGTTCTTTCTTTTTCTGCCCCCCCCCCCTTCTCTCTCTTTCTCTCTCTCTCTCTCTCTCTTTCTTTCCTTCTACTGCTGTCATTCCTCAGTCAGTGAGACCCTCACCAGGTTATATAAGATATCCATTTCTATTAAGTTTCATATTAGGCTTTCTTGGTTGCTACACTAAGCTTTGAAAATCCTTCCTGAGGGCGACTAGTAGGTTTTTATTGTCTTCCTGTTGAGAGTGAAAAACTTTTAAAAATTAGCATAAGATAAAAGCCTTGGGCAACTTACTTCACTTATTCCATAAGGAACTTTTATAAGTAGTATGTGTGTGGTCTGTGTTCCCTTTTATTGTGTGTCTTTAAAGTGCGTGTATGTTATAAAGTGCGTGTATGTCATTTCTGTTTTAGTCATTATAGTTGTACTGTTTAATTCTAAGCTCCCTCAAGCCAATTTGTTGGGAAAGGCAGGATATAAGTACAATTATTTTATTTATTTAGTTTATTCCTCGCCTTTCTCCCTTTGGAGACGCAAGGTGGCTAACAACCACACAGTTTGGTCACAGTTTAAAACAAACCAAATACAATTCAAAAATTAATACTACTGTGTGGATTTAGGTTAAGATACAGTTAAAATATAATGAATATAATTCAAATTGCGTTTAAAACTCACAATATTCCCCAGAATCCCACATACTACCTCCACAGCAGTGGAACTTTATCCTTCTCCAAATGTCTTCTGGCAGAGGAAGGTCTTGATCTGCTTGCAAAAGGCCAGCCTCAGTTAGTAATTTGGCTGCTGCTCTTTAAATCAACTGAAGTTTCTGAGCACTTTTCAAAGGCATCCCCACATAGAGTGCATTGCAGTAGTCCAACCAGGATGTAACCAAGGCATGTACCACCATGGCTAGGTCCGACTTTTCCAAGAACAGGCGCAGTTGGTGCACTAGCTTTAATTGTGCAAAAAGAGCTCCGTCAAGGTAAATCCAGGAATACCCCCAAACTGAAATTTACATTTTCAAGAGAAGAGTAACCCCATCTAACAAAGGCTGAATCTCTATTCCCAGATCTGTCTTTCAAGTGACCAGGAGTACCTCTGTCTTGTCTGGATTAAGTTTCAATTTGTTTTCCCACATCCAGTTCATTACAACTACCAGGCACTGGTTTAGCACAGGAACCACTTCCTAGGAATTAGGTAGAAAGGAGTAGTAAAGTTGGATGTGATCTGTATATAGCGCCACACTCCAAAACTCCAGATGACGCCTCCCAACAGATGACGCCTCCCAACAGTTTCATGTAGATGATAAATAGCATGGGAGATTAACAAATAAATGTCGTTGATGACCTAATAGATGTGTTTAATTTTGTAGTTTAGGGCTGTAATGCTCTGCACAAGGATAGTGAGTCTGACATGAAATGGGGACTATTTGGGGGGAAGCTTCCATAGACAGAGGCTTTATGGATGCCAGTGTGAACAAATGCATGCCACAATGTACATTTGAGATTCTTTGCATCTTGATTATCTCTTTTGTGTCTCAATTAAGGGATATAAAGTAATAGTAATAATAATGATGATGATAATAATTTGTTAACCTTGTCAAAAATATGGTGATTGCAAAATTCAGTGGTATGTTCCTGTCAGAATGCAAAACAGTTTGACAACCTTGTGCATGTGCTTGTATTTATGTGTCCTCAGGTGTATCTAAACCATGGGTAACCGTGATGGCCCTTTCGGGCATGAATGGCAGCACCCTGTGGTCCAGTCATGTGAAAGAGGAGATTCGAAGTGTGCAATGTAAGGGCTTGAACCTTATGTCCTCAACAGAGCCTGTCTGCCTCATTACTGGGACCTCTAAATTCCTCAGCCTTCTGAGTGCCTCCTCAGGTCTGTACACAACAAATGTGGGTGCATAATTAGCTGGGAAATAAGTAGACCAACCGAACTGTCAAAAGCATAACACTTGTAGTTGAATAATGTTCTCCTCTTGCCTTCAGATTCTTTAGGCCATATTCCTATACACTGAAGCGGTCAAAGTGCAGTCCACTGCTTTCCAAAGCTGTTTTTCAGCCCTCGACTTTTCCAGATTTACTGATTTCACCTTGGCCAAAAATAAACTACCTCTTCTGGGAGGTTCCACACATGGCAATTCACATTTTAACATTATTGCAGTCCCTTGCAAACAAAAAAAAAATCCACTTCTTCCAAAGCAGAAGTGGATTCCTGGTCACTTCCTTTGTTATTGTATTACCCTTCTTGCAAGTTCATGAAACCCTCAGAAGTACCACAAGCAGAAATTGCCCCCTCAACCTATTATAGTTTTCTATATCTGCTATATATACACCCATGTCTTAGAAATTTTCATTTTTGGATTACACTTCTCAGAATATCTCTCTATAGCAAAGCTGGGCTTGGGAAGGTCTAGAACGTGCAATGTAAGAAAAAAAAAAACCCCTTTACATATTTGTCTGGAAGGAGTTTCATTGAACTCAGGGGACTGTTACAATTACAATTCTATATAGATTCATAAAATCATAGAGTTGGAAGAGACCACATGGGCCACCCCATCCAACCTCCTGCTGTGTTGGAGGAGCACAATCAAAGCACCCCCAACAGATGACCATCCAGCTTCTATTTGAAAGCCTCCAAAGAAGAAGACTCCACCACACTCCAAGGCATATAATTCCACTGCTGAATATGGTCAGGAAGTTCTTTTTAATGTTCAGGTGGAATCGCCTTTCCTGTAATTTGAACCCAATTCTCTGAGTCCTAAGCTTTTATTGTGCTTTTTCTGCATGGCAGCGGATTGGACTTGATGACCCATGTGGTCTCTTCCAACTCTATGTTTCCCAGCTGGAAGAGGAAGAAGGATCAAAAAAATAGCAGCTGGTAAGGGAGTATGCATGGTAGGGGCATAGTAGTGTATGGTTGAATATGTTGGAGACTCATATTTATGTGAACCAAAAATACCCCCAGTCATTTACAGAGTGATGTGCATCCTTTCTGCATTGTGTCTTATTCCAGTCTGAGTATGGTAAGCTTGACCTGTTCCTCACTGAGGATCTTAGAAACCAGTGAATTACTTCTCTGCTCCTACTTCCATTTACCTTCATAAGGTTCTCATTAACCTCCTGTGTATACTCTCTGGTTCTGCCTTCTGCTTGCATTGAGGTCATTTGATTTCTTCCTTGCAGGAAAACCAATTTGGACCCTTGACTCATCCCACCTGCCCAGTGGAACCTTGGCAGCTCCAGCTGTTTCTGTACCTGACATAGATGGAGACAGGGTCAATGATTTGGTGGTCCTGGCTATTGGAGAAACTCAGGTATGACCCCTAGTCCCATATGTGAAGTAGCAAGAAGGATAGTCTGATGTGAACAAATCAGCCTTCCTTAACCTGGTGCTTTTTAAATGTGTTGGACTCCAGTGCCTATCCCTCTCGGGCACCATGTTAGGGAAGGGTGGTGAAGTGTGTGATGTGTGCATAATCAACTGCCTGCTACATGTGTGCCTTCCCTGCCAACCTTATTTCTCAGACTTTGGAAATTTTTGAATCAGGAACTCATCAACCATTTGCTGTAGAGGTGGAATGTCCTGGTTCTGAAATGTCTGGTGTTTGATTCTAAAATGTCCCCCAAAGAAGGCCTTAAGAGTATTCACAGATAATGTAATTTTCTACTAATAAACCAACCCTTAAAAAAAAAGGACATACATGTATTTATTGGTTCATTGAATTTATATCCCGCTGGTCTGCCAATAATGGATTCCAAGCAGCTTTCTCTTAAGATGACATGGCACATCTTAAGGCAACACATTTTTTGTTTCTTTTGTAGATTTTATTTGGTTTTCTCTGGTTTCTGCTTTGTTTGTCTAATGAGAGCAGTTCCTGGTGTTAGAATTATGGAACAAAAATGCTTCTTGAATATACAGACTCATCCATGCAATGCTATATATTTTATGTCTCCTTTTTTCTATAGCCAGACTTATGTTTCATCTTGGTGTCTGGTAAAACCGGAAACCCTGTGGGAGGGCCAGTGAAATACAGCATTAATGGAAATGGAAAGTTGATTGGCCCTCAGGCTCACGTTACTGGCCATGGAGCGATCTACATCTTGTTTGGTTTTGGTAAGATTCTCTGTTATTTCTAATGAATCTCTTGGAGTCACCTTGACATTAGAAAAAGAGCTGGGATTCATCACATTGTACACTTCCGTGATGGGGTTTGGGAATCCAGCACCACTAGTTTGGGGGTGGTGAAAATGAAATACTGTGTGGGTAGCTAATGAACCATTTGGAAAGGAAATAATAGCTAAGGTGAAACTGAATCAATAAGAAGATAGAAGAACATAAGCCTAAGTATAGAAAGAAGATGAGACAAAGAGCACCGGAGACAGCGAGCACTGGACAAGTTGTTGTTATTGTTGCTGTTGTTGCTGTTGCTCTTGCTGTTGTTGTTGTTGTTATGTTTATTTATATCCCGCTTTCTTTCTCTATATAGAGACTCCATATAGAGAGTATTATAATATAAATTCAAATACACAAATATTAAAACAGTATTAAGCATCCTCAATATTAAAAAATAGTTCAGGTCAAAACCATAAAAGCACACAAAACCACAGCACTCCCCAACTAGATCTCAAACACTTTCATCTTTAAAAGCCTATCTGAATAGAAAGGTTTTAGCCTGCCCCTGGAAGGATAGCAGGAAGGGGGGCCATTCTGACTCCTTGGGCAGGGAGTTCCAGAGTCGAGGGGTAGACACCGAGATGGCCCACTCTCTCTGAGTTGAGATGGAGATGAAGGGCCTCTCCTGCAAATTTCAGGGTTCCGGGCAGGTTCGTACAAGGGGATGCGGTTGGCTAAATAGCCTGGACCTGAACCTGAAACGTCAAAGGCTTTAAAAGTCATAACTTGCACTTTGTATTGTGCCCAGAAACAGAACGGCAGCCAGTGGAGCTGCTTCAACAGGGGGTCGTCTGCTTCCTGCAGCCAGCCCAAGTTAGCAACCTGGCTGGAGCTCTTGGGACCAGCTGAAGTTTCCAAGCACTCTTCAGAGGCAGCCCCACATAGAGTGTGCTACAATAATCCAGATGGGATAAAACTAAGGCATGTACCACCATGTCCAGATCTGGCTTCCCAAGAAATGGACAAAGTTGGTGCACAAGTTTTAATTGTGCAAAGGCCCTCCTGGTTACTTCTGACACCTGGGCCTCCAGGTTCAGAGAAAAGTCCAAGAGGACCTCTAACTGTGACTTCAGGGGGAGTGTGACCCCATCCAGCATAGGCTGGATCCCTATTCTCTGATCTGTCTTCCGACTGACCAGGAGTACCTTTGCCTTGTCTGGATTAAGTTTCAGTTTGTTTGCCCTCATATAGTCCATTACTGATGACGGATACTGGTTTAGGATTAGGACAGCTTTCTTGGCTTTAGGTGGAAAGGAGTAGTAGAGTTGGGTGTCATCTGCATATAGGTGGCACTTAACTCCAAAACTCTGGATGACTTCTCCTAGCGGTTTTATGTATATGTTGAACAGCTTGGGGGACAAAATAGAACCCTGAGTAATCACACAGGACAATGGCCAAGGGTTCAAAGAGGAGGCCCCCAGCACTACCTTTTGGGTACAGCCCCCCTGCAAGGGCCAGAGCCACTGTAAGACAGAGCCTCCCAGTCCTATCCCAGCGAGATGACCCAGAAGGATACCATGATCAATGATATCAAAAGCCTCTGAGAGATCCAGGAGAACCAACAGGGACAGCCCTCCCCTGTCTAGCTCTTTGTGGAGGTCATCCACCAAGACAGCCAAAGCTGTCTCTGTTCCATAGCGAGGCCTGAAACCAGATTGAAATGGATCTAGATAATCTGTATCATCCAGAAATCTTGGGTGGCCACCAGTTGTAAACTGGGAGTTGTTGATGAGGGAATTGAGTTGATAGGTAACATTTGTTGCAAACATTGGAATGCAGAGAATCAAAATTTAAATTACGTTGGAAGGCTATTGTAAATCTCACATACAAGACACTTGAAAAGATGCTCAGCACAGTTTTCTATATGGTGTCTGATCTTTCTCCACAATCTATTTTTGTGCAAAATGCATGACCCTCCCCCGATTGCTCAGAAAGGCAATAGTTCATGTTTCCCACTCATTACTCTTGTGCTTAGGGTGTGTTTACAGTATAAGGTTTGTCACATTTACTGAATTTTTGTGTAATGTGATCAGTGGCATTCATCTCTGCAGCACTTTATGATCCTGTTTGAAGCTGAGTTTTATTCTCCCTCTGTTCTCCTGTCTCCTGTTCTTAAAAGTGGTATTTATTCAATGCTGTATAGTGTACTTTTCCAGTAAGATTTCTTCATTCTTTTCCATTGTCCAGTTCTGGGCAGCTCTCCCTTCTTCTTCTATACCCATAGCACTAAATAAATAAATAAAAATATTTAGCTTATTTTTGTTGTCCTTTTTAGGCCTTTTGTGTATAGGATATAATGCCATATAATTGAGCTTTTAAAGGAGAAAGCAGCAACACAGATAATCCCATTTTGAAAGTGCTAGAATGCATTTGGGTCATGCTATGACTTCAAGTGTAGAAAGAGTACATATGTTGCTAAGTATATGTTCAGATTTTGCAATTTACTTTGAGAAGAGCTCGAAGAGTGACCACTTGAACAGGTTCTTTATGGTCATGGAAGCTGTGGAATCCACTGGGAAAAAAGCAAGCAGGATTATCACAGATTAGTGAGAAAAGTGTGGCTATAAACCTTCACTTATTTATGCAGAAGAAGCAGAGTAGCTGGAATGAACCTATAGCAATGTTTATGGTTCTTTTGTTTGTCACTCTCTTCCTATATCACATCTGTTTTGTAGAAATGTACAATATTGTTAGTCTTTGTTTCTTTATGTCACCTAGGTAATGTTCAAGCAGTTGCCTTGCGTGATATTTTTGCTCAAGCTAGAAACCGCGACAGCTTCCCACTAGTGCTGCAACGAGAAGAGTCTGAATGGGAAAAGCGCCGCTCTGTCAATTTGTCAGAACTTATTGACATTTACAGGTGGGATACTGTCTCCCTTCTATAGTGAAATATATTGACTCTGGGGCCAATGAAATACATTGAGTATGGAGATTATGACAGGTTCTTTATGTAGTTATATACCTGTCAAGAGTGTTTACTTTTCAGGGAAGATATATAGTATCTTCCCTGAAAATTAAGAGATTGAGTGTGATGGCTTATGACTATATCTTTTCTAATGGTTGTAATTCTAATGGTCACAATTCAAAGTTAAGGAGTATTTCTTGTGTTACCTCACAACCCCTTGAACTTGTCTATTTCTGTAATTCAGCGCAGAACATTTGATTGTAGAATTCTTCAGACCTCTTTTCTATGTCACTCTCTGGGAAATCTTTTCTAAAACGAGACTGGTGCTCCTTTGTTAGTTTTTTTTTGTTCTATTGTTTAGTTGTATACTGGTACTGCGGGCAAACTAACTGAGGTCTGCATTGTTTGGGTTAGATACTTGACAAAGCTTCAAATTGTTTGTGTACTACATAAATAATAGTTGCTATCAGGTTTTTTTTCTTTCACAATGAATTGATTTTCCCCCTAAACACAAAAGCTCCTGCGTATTGAGTTGTGCACACTGTCTAAGAAATACTGTGTGATGCTCTGACAGTGTGAATATAACAGCCCTATATAAGAACTACTGTTTGAACTGCAACTATTAGAAAAGAATATTTGAATATGGAATTCAGGACAATTATGTGAAGCATAAATTAAAAATCAAAGAAATATAGCAAGATAATAAAATCATCAGAAATTTAGCAGGAAGACAGATTTTTCTAGAGCTCTCTGGCAGTGTAATATGAGGACAGACTTCAAGAAGAGCTGTTTCTCAAGAAGGATATTTGAAATACATTCTGAGAAACAGTGCCAATCTCATTGCAATTACTTTAGTTTTTTCAAATGTTCTGAATGAGGACTCCCACTGCCATATTTGCTTTGAATGTTGCTCAGGGCACACTTTGATTATTAGTCCAAGAGCTCATTTATCCAAACAAAATATTCAGTGTGTCATTTCCTATTTATCTTTAGCTGTGGCTAAAGTGAATCTTACTTAGTCAGCTGTCCAGAGATCTTCAAATAAAGGGCAAAGATATAAATATTAATATGTTAACAAATCAAATTAAATAACATTTCATTTAAGAATGTGCATGGAGACAGATGTGGCATTTGTTGCAACTGGTTTTATCTTAGTTGGGAAGTGCCCTGAAATGAGGTTATTGCAGAACCTGGAAAAGCTGTTGGTTTGGGGTTTGGTAGTTTTATTCAGAAAAACAACTTTTCCAAACTGAGTAATTGATGATAGCACTACAACATTGTCTTCCATTTACTCTCTGCCTCCTCCAGTGGTGGTGTTGAGTTTCTGCAGGCTGTAAAGTCTCCAGAGGGCAACTGCAGTGACCTCCTTATCACTACTGATCGTGGTTTGACCTTACTGAGGGGACAGGACTTGGAGCCTCGTTGGACGCTGAAACAGCAAGACATTGACAGGTGAAAAGCTTTTGCTTTTGTTTCTGATTCTATCTGCTTCTTCTGTATGCTCACATTTACCAGATGTTCTCTTTCCCACTCCTTGACAGTTCAACTGTTCTGCTGCTGTGGAACAATATCCCCTTAAATTTGGGTTAGTCCCCGATGTTGGGTGGGAATAGAGCTTTGAAGTTACATATTACTTTTGAGGTAATGGAAGCTCAATACCATTTTATTACATGAGTAGCCATGCAGTCCTCCAGGTATTGTTGGACTGGAATTCCCAGCATTTCTCAGCTTTGGCTGTGATGGCAAGGACTGCAAGAACTTGTAGTTGTAGTACATCTGGAGGGCCACGGTAGCATAGTGGTTTAAACCGCTAGCTGCAGGAAATCTGCTGATGGGAAGCTTGGCAGTTCGAAGCTGCAAGTCAGGGTGAGCTCCCGACTTTCAGCCCTAGCTTCTGTCAACCTAGCTTTTTGGAAGCATGCAATGCGAGTAGATCAATAGGTACTGCCTATTGGGCACCCCATGCAGATATGCAGACATGCTGGCAATACAGTCAGAAATGTCTATGGACAAACAGGTTCATCAGCATGGAAAAATGGAACAAGAGCACCTCCCCATGGCCGGAGTTAAGCATTGCCTCCAGACACGGGAGATGGGAAAAAGGGGATGGCCTTTACCTTTGTCTGTGTTGTATGTCGTTGTTCACTGTGTATAAAAGGCATTGAATGTTTGCCTCATGTGTATATTGTAATTCATTCTGAGTCCCTCTGGGGAGATAAAACGAAATATAAATTAAGTAGGTTGTTGTAGGTTTTTTCGGGCTATATGGCCATGTTCTAGAGGCATTCTCTCCTGATGTTTCGCTTGCATCTATGGCAAGCTTCCTCACTACCTCTGTGGATGCTTGCCATAGATCAGTGGTTCTTAACCTGGGGTCCCCAGATGTTTTTGGCCTACAACTCCCAGAAATCCCAGCCAGTTTACCAGCTGTTGGATTTCTGGGAGTTGAAGGCCAAAAACATCTGGGGACCCCAGGTTGAGAACCACTGCCATAGATGCAAGCGAAACGTCAGGAGAGAATGCCTCTAGAACATGGCCATATAGCCCAAAAAAAACCTACGACAACCCAGTGATTCCGGCCATGAAAGCCTTCGACAATACAAAAATTAAGTGTATTATTATTATTATTATTATTATTATTATTACTATGTGATTCTCACCTGAAGTAGTGTAGTACCCTATAACTTCATTACCTTTTTTTCTTTTGGTTTAACAAAAACATCATTTGGGATAGAGATCATTTGTTACTGAAAGATAGATATTGCAACTACAGAAAGAGCCATTATATGTTAATGGGATGGGCCATGAAATCTAGGTATTAGAATTCATTGTTCTGGCAGTGTTTGGAAATGTCACTCAAATTTCACAAGGTCAAACTGCCAGTGCTTATGCTTCTTCAGTCTGCCTTCAGAGCAGATTTTAGAAGAATGGTGGCTTGCAGGAGGGAGGTCAAACCAGTCCCACTAGCGGAAGCTTATCTATTCCAGGGAAGAGCGCTATTGGATTCAGTGAAAGCTTGGTTAAGTTTTTATGGGGATTTAAAACTCCTAAAATCCACCAGCCAGCATAGGAGATCCAGAACATTTTTCAGTCATGGTTTCATGCACACAGAACAAGGGAAGGTTTAAAAGATGGGGGTTCTGAGATAGCCCCACCTCTGCTTTTAATATTTGCAGGGGTCGTGCCCCAGCAATCCATGATTTCAGCTTCTGTGTGAAGGATCTCTCTGAACTTAACCACAGATAGAATTTTTCCACTTGTGTTAAAAGTGATGAATGAATATTTTATTTCAGTCAATGACCAGCCTTACTGAACGTGAAGTGAAAGTTCTGTTTCATGTTCGGTCTGTTTCAACTGTATTGAATCACCAGGCTGTAAATATTTGCCCAATTAAACACAGTTTCTCTTTACCTGGATTAGACCACTGCATGTACGCATCTCAAATCTGCTGCGGAGGAGCTCCTCAACAACAACAAACAACTATAACATGTCAGTGTTGCCTCAAAACCACACAGATCAGCCCTGCTCTTTACTGCCGATAGATACCCTGTGAATGAATATATATTTCAAATGTTTCAAGGAATCCTACTGACATACTGATGGGCATGTAAAGCACTTGTCCACAAAAGGGGAAACTCTGGTGGGGCCAGCAGAAAAGCCTTTTCAGTGGAAAGCAACTTAACTGAAGTACATGTATGATGAACCAGCCTAACGTCTCATTATGAACAGAGTGTCAGGCTTACAGTGGTTTGCCTGTCCAGGACTAGGGATCAAAGTCTCATTCAGCCAAGGAGCTCATTGAGTGTTCTTGGGCCTCTCATTTCTATCATCGGACCTGCTTCATGAGCCTGTTTTGAAGATAAAGCCAAGGGGAAGGTCAAAAGTACAAGTTTAACAGCTAGCAATATGTCTGTGCACAAATCACATGCTTATGTGAGATTTACCAGTATATTGTCAGGGATACTGGTGCATTTTTAAAGATGTAAAGAATGTCATGATTGCTAATAAAATAGAGGCACACTAAAAATGACAGCAGTAAAACGTCGTGCTTTGTGGTGAGGAACCAATTGTATCCACATAATTTTCTCTCATTGTACGGATTGTAGAATCTTTGTTTTGGAGCTCTGTGCTCCATTTTCTCTTTCCCTTCCCTGGATGCATCCATAAATGATCTTTGCTTGTGCCAGGATAGTAGACTTGATGGATGAGCCGCCTGATCTCTTTTGGCAAAGCCTGGCCTTGCAGGAATGCAGATAAATTCTAGTGAAAGGAAGGTTACAGCTGAGGCTGTGGACATGTTTATTTAAGATGCCTTCCTTGTCTCGCCTTCATTCTCATAGTTGCTTAATTCATTTTTCCTCCTTTTTTTGCAGCCAGCCTTCTCCAGGCTACTTCAGCAATGATCAAACCCTGGACTTCATGGTTCAGGCACAGAGTGCAGGCAACATCACCAAAAAGGTACATTTATTATCTTGTGAGCAGAACAATCGACTGTGTATTGATTTTAAAGCAATTCTAACTAGAGAGAGTGTATCTTGTTGCCAAGTTAATGTGTATCATAGCTTCCATTCAGCACGACCAGTATATAATGATAGTAGAAGTTGTAATTCAAAAATTTTAGAGGACCATTATGCTCCATCCTGTAGCATAATGGCAATCACATTTTATCAGCAGCTGCAACTGCTTATATTTCTTCTCAAGCCTTGTCTAGAGTTAACAAGGATGATATTGAATTTATCTACATTTAATGTGCACATTTCAAAAATGCAGTTAAGCAATTGGTGTTGGAGGGGCAGGGGCTGATAATTATTAAGATCCCACCACAAATAAGAAGGGAGATTTATCCTTTTCATCTCTGATTGATTATACTCGATTCTTTGTAGCTGCTGCTGGCATTGAGAGGAAAGCTCATTTTGGCACCACAGAGAGATTTCTGCCCATCCCAGAGATCACGCCTAGAGAAGAGATTTTCTTTGGTCACTCCTCATCCCTGCCCTGTAGTTGCTATTTCCATTTTAATGTGCATGTTTAAAGGCATATTTGCATATTACATGATGGCCAGTTTGGTATTCAGTTGTTACTCAAGTTGCTGAATTTCTGACTGTGCTACTTTATAGGTACAGGCAAGCACTCCCTGTATTTTTGGATGCATCTCTCAGCACATAATAAATAAGTACATCAAAGAGACATTGAGAGGAACTTGATACAGCCGACACCAAGCTGGTTTATTTGATACATGCATAGAAGTATTTAACTTATGTCCTTCCTGAATTCTCAAGCACTTCAGCACTCAGTCACCTTACACAGTGGAGCCCCTGGTGGTGCAATGGGTTAAACCCTTGTGCTGGCAAGACTGCTGATCGAAAGGTCAGAGGTTCAAATCTGGGGAGTTGGGTGAGCTCCCATCTGTCAGTCCCAGCTTTCCATGTGGTGACATGAGAGAAGCCGCCCACAGCATAGTAAAACATCCAAGCGTCCTCTGAGCAATGTCCTTCCAGATGGCCAATTCTCTCACACCAGAAGCAACTGCGCTCCTGACACACACAAAAAACAATACAAAACAAAAAAAAAACCAACCTTACATTGTGTACTATATAAAATGAATCACAAAGTGAAAAGAAGTGAATTTCTCTGGGAAAAATCATAATTAAGGAGTGAAAAGGGTAGCTATCTCCTGAAGTTTGCCGTACAACCAGCAGCTGCTAATCAAACCTAAGATGCCCCCTGTCCTTGGAGAAGTTGCTTTCTGGGGTTATAGTGTCCAGAACTCACCATTGGCCATACTGGATTCTGGGAGCTTTAATCCAAAACAGTAGCTTTTCAAGTTCCGACACCTTTGGAATGCACCCTGCCCCATCTTTTTTCATAGCACCTAATTGTTATTCTCACTCTGGACTTATCTGCTTTTAGCTGCTTGTAGTGGATGGTAAATCAGGCCTCCCAGTCTGGAACTATGAGCTGCCCTGTCACATGAAAAAATCAGATACCCTCTCAGTGATGACTTTGGACAAGAAATCTGTCTTTCTCTTCTGGGCCAATGAGAAGCAGTCCATCCTGAAAAGCTTGGTAAGTGAGAGTCCATGTCTCTGGTTGACAAGGAAGTTTTTTTCTGGCATTACACTTCAAGACGACAAAGGAGTGGTTCAAGCTTCACTGGATGCTTTGTTCTGGGTTTGGTGGTGTGTTTGTTTTGGGTTCCTTTTTTTTTTTTTGCTACAACAGACTAACACAGTTGCCTCTCTGAGAGATAAAAATTGTTTGATCACATAACATAAATGTTAGTGGTTAAGAACAGATTTAATTCAGTTTATTAAAATTCAGTTTTTACCATTAGGAGATTCCTTCTCATTGTGTTATAGGTTGTATTCAAACAAAGTTGGTCACATTTTTCATGTTAAACATGTACTTGGAAGTTAAAGTAGTCATGATGTCTGGGAGACTTTATGAATAATCAAAAAATAACATTTTTTCCAAGCTCTTAAATGACTTAATAACTTAATTTCAATAATTTCAGTGAGATTATAAATCCAATGTAGATTGGGTCCAAATATTTTGTAAATACTAAAAGAAATGTGAAGGAAATGGATAAGTCATTCATTGTTGTTATTGTTGTAGGAACCTAGCCCAAGAGTACACCATCTTTATCTTCTCCATCCCACTTTTCCTTCACTCCTCTTGGACCTGAGTAATACAACAGGCACAGTGACAGCTTCTTCCAGTAAGTATGAGGTGGTGTGGAGGGGAGAAACCCCCCCCCCCCAAATTCAAATATATATGTGAAGGTTCCCTGATCTATTCTGGGCAGTGGTTGGTTGGTTCTGGACTGCTTTCTAAGTTGTTTGGTGCTTAGGCTGCTTAGTTAATTGTTTATCTTTCATCTTCTAGATAAAGCCTGGCCAAAGGTCAAATAAACTCTGGTTCTCAATCTTTTGCCCTCCATATGTTTTGGACCAATTCCCAGTATCTTCAGTTAGCATAGCTAGATTCTGGGAGCTGAAGCCAAAACGTCTGGAGGATGATGGATATAAGAGAGTGCACACACACACAAAAATAGCTTACAGAATTTTTCACTTTCTTAAAAGGAAGATAGAGGATTATGCAGTGAGCATGTTAAAGAAATGGATAGCAACCTATCATGCTGGTGTGGTCCAATAGTTTATGTTGTTGTCTTAAAACTGAGAATACATCTGGTGTGAGCTGTTGCTATCTGCTCATGCTGTGACTACTTTGCAGTGCAAAAGCAATGGAAGAGAAACAGGGATGGGTTGTACTAAATTGTGGGAAAAGTCACCTGACACTAAGCAGCTTGCATTGTATGAAGGAGAGGGGAACACAATAATACAATGTAGATTCCTCAGTGTGAGTTGGAAAAGGCCACCCTTAACCCTCAGTTGAGGAGGTGGCTTTTAGGAGGTGAAAATTTGGCAGGAAGGCAGAAGAACTACTGGGAGGATCTGAAATTGCCTACTAGCTTTCCCCAGCAGAATGTTTTCAGGCAAAGGGAGTGAGGCAAATCTTGGAGCTATATGACTGCCAGTGGCTCAGATCTAGTCTTTTGTGACTATCTGTCTTTGAAGTAGAAATGTTTTTGTCCATGGCCCCCTTGAGCTGTCTACACTCCCATTTCTTGCATACAGAGCTGCAGTGGCATGGAGAATTAAGATAATTATGCCTGACACACAATTATGCTGGCATGAACCCAGCACAAAAGATCTTTTGACCTTACAGGAAATGGGCCTTGTCAGGTCCCTGACATTTTCAAGACAGCTTAGAAAATCTGCTTTTTCTTGGTCTGATTAGAGTTGACCCATTGAGTCAGTTGCTGAATGACGTCATCACTTTTGGAAATCCATTGCTTTAGTAGCTTTAATCTAATGGAAACTAACATCTAGGACTACAGCTTTCCGAATCCCCCTGGCCACTAGCCATGTTGGATGGTGGATTCTGGTAGTTGCTCAAAAATAACTTTTCCCGGCTTCAGCTTTCAATGACAAGGGCTAGTGAAAGTGGAATGAACCTGCAAGAAATAAAATTAAGCCGTTGGGAGGTGCTGTTTTGCTTTCCCTTTGCACGTTTTCAGTCACACTGCATAACCTAGGGTTCAAGGCTGTGAAAAGTCTCAAGGTGTTCAAGTTATGCTTTTTGAGGCAGCTTGAATGATTCTTAAGAAATCTTTTTTTGTTGGCGCACATATGTTTTATATGTAAATCTTATTTGCAACTCGTTGGTTTATTGTTGTTGCAAACTATGCCAAGGTTTTCAAATTCAAAGTTATTTGTTGTAGTATTGTTTTGTTCTTGTGTGTAGCAGTATTTGCCAAAGTTAGAAATGCTGCTGCGACTGCAGTTCTGCAGAGGCATTTGTATTCATTGCAGAGTTCCAGGCCGCTGAACACTGTGCCTCGATTTTATCTGTAACTTGAAAGCCAAGCCCTTGCACAGTTAGAAACAGCCAATGGGAGTTAGCTTGACTGCCAGATCTGAATGCGGCAAATTATTTACTGCTCACCCATATTTTCTTTCCTTCTTTATGCCTGCTAGTTGGAATCAATGATCTTCAAAAAGATGCATTTTATATCACGGTGACAACAAGCATCACCTCCGAACACCAACCGGGCTTTCTGTCAGTCAGCAAACTCCGCCTGAGGTGGGCTTTGATGACTCAGAGTCGAGAGGTACCGCTCAAGGACACAGATCCCAAAATCAGTCGTGGGGAATTGAGGCGCTTTCTTTCTAGGATCAAATTCACTGATTTTGCTCACAAGGTGAGATAGCTAAAACAGTCTTTGGGATAATGACTAATGTGCATCCAAGGCAAAGGGTCGCTGATAGGGCAACCCCTTTCTGCAGAGAATGCCAATAGACATTTTATTTGCCTGACCTTTTTGAAGGTCAAGTAAATTACAAAAGCAAAGAGAAATGGCAAAAGTACATGGAAGCAGGCAGGTGGGTAGGTAGTCTTGCTCTTTCTTTGTTTACACTGGTTCATTTGCACTCTGGGGAGACGTTTAAGATACATCCTTATTCAAGTCACTTCAGCATAGAGCTAGATGGCATGTTCCTTTCTACCAAATATGAGACAATGTCCTCAACCGATTCCTTTTCTGTGGGGTTGTGTGAACATGTTCATTCCATGAACTACAGATTCAATTCCAAAGAGATCCAATTTACTGGCCTGGCGAGTACACACATGGTGATTCACTCTTTTGCAATGGACCATCTATTGAGATCATTTTTTTAAAAAATGAAGGCATTGTACAAATCAGCAGTGCCAAATGGAGATACTTTTCTACTTTTTAAAAATTCATTTGACTTACAGGTAGACTGAAGGTTCAAATTGTGACTATTGCTGTTGATTGACATGGTGAAGCTAGTGCTAGAAAGAATATGAAATGGGTTACCTAACATCAGGAAATCACACCAGGAAGAATAATAGCGCAATCTTCTCCTGGTACTTGAATGTCCCAAACTGATGAAAAGGAACTTGCAGAGAAAAAACATCCACAAACCCCTGTTTTCTGTACAGAAAATGTTTTTACTGTGCAGAAAATAGGGGTGTGTAGAGGAGGAGGTATTAAAAAATCTGGGCATTTCCCCCCACAAAGTAATTCCTCTGCAACATTTCAGGATATGGGCATACAAGGAGAATACTGTGGATAAAGACTCATTTTCTCCTGCAACAAGGTGAAAGCCACTCTAATTATTTGTCCCTACTTGCAAAGATGAAATAGTCAAGGATTTACATATCTAGCACCTTCTGGCTTACATCTGGGTTTAGGGACCCAATGAATTCTTGATACAGTGAGATTTTGGAATTCCCTATGGTTTAACAAGGGCCCACCCAGGTTCAGAGTCTATATGTATTATTTCCATTTAACCATACCTGACTGTCATTGCATGTATTTTTTAAAATGTGAGTTGGATCTGCCACAAAAATTAGAGCATGATCAGCCCATCATCCTTCCTGACACACTATTGATGTTGTGGCTTGAGCCCTGCCTATGATAGAGTCTCTTGTCTGAGGCCTGCAAAAGCCCCTTGTACCTGACTTTCTTTTTCCCCTTCTTTTCTTTTCCACAAGTTCTAGCCATGGAACTCCTCAGGTTTTTGGAGCAATGGGACAAAAATGTGGTTTGCAATATCAGCAAGCCATGCTGCTCGGGCAGACTTCCTGATGCATTCAACCAATCAGTCAATAATGGAGACTGGAAACCCAGCTGCCAATAGCTGCACAATGCTGGAAAGGCTGTACTAGCGATCCTCAGGCATATCGATCTGGAAGGAATGCTGCTCGATCCCTTTGTTGCTACTCCCTGTCTGTGTAATTCCTTTCAGGTATGAAGATGTAAATTTATGCAAAGATGATGGCATATCTGTATGTATATTGTATTTTTAAGTTATAAAATAATTCAGGAAGCTCAAATTTGTATTTTAGGGAAAACATCTGCATTTTGCTTTTCTTCCTATTGTATTCTTAGCTTTTGCGTTCCTTCGTCTCTTTGATCTTCTTTGTGTTAGGGTCACTATTGTGTCCCATTCTGTTCTTCTCCCCACCCTCACCTTTTCTCACTCAAGGTCAAATAGTATTATATGTTCAGTACCGAATGCATTGTATATGCTCCCCCATAAATTCAGATCTAGATGGATTTGATGCTGTGTTGTCTCAAATCTGCCCCTCTTCCAATCATGTTGGAACCAGCTGCCCTGTGGGTTGCTATAATTTTGGTTATTCAGCATATTTCGAAGCATTCATTGCAATGTTTTTTTGTATTGGCAGGGAGCGTCTGAAAATGCCTTGCTACATTTTGGTGCAATACAACTGTAGGTGGTGTTGCCACTTTGCAGACTTCTATGGTGACCATAATGATTCATAACTCATACCTAACTCTGCCTCTGACAAAAGCAAGAAATAGATGGAAACCAGGGCACTGGCCCATTTCCTTAGGTGATGATTCCTAGTTACAGGATAGCCTATGTAAAGCGGGTTTCTCCAAACAGGTGGTCCCCAGATATGTTGATTAAGGCTCCCATCATTCCTGTCCAGAGAGTATCTACAACAAAATTTTTGTAGTGTTTGCATTTTAAGCCTGTTAAACAACTTTATTTTTCATTACTGGGTCAACTAAATTGTGTTGACTCCTTCCCTGTGTTTGTGGAGCACACCACATGTCCTGATTTCAAGTATGATCTGAAATGGCATTAGATTCAGCACCATGAGAGAGAGGCAGCCAGTCAGAAAGGAAAGTGTTGCCCTTCTCCCTCTATTGCAGATCCTTGTGGCTCTCACCTCCTTGCCATTTCCCTTCTCTGTTGATACCATTTTATTTTCACCTCAATGCCTTCTTCTGAGAGATGTTTCTCCAGAAAAGGGTTTGTGAGAGGAGTGGCTTTTGTGCAACAGTCATGGTCCATTATCATCTGCCCAGTGCTGTGCTCCAAGGAAGACATTTGAGCCTTTGTGTAAAACTGCACTAGTCTTTTTCCTGTTGTGGTATTTGTAGCATCAGGGAGGTAGCCAGCCCCTTTCTCCAAATTGAGGTACTTGGGATTATCTAGAAGGATTACCCAGCCATAGCAGCTGTTCCAGAGGCTGTGCTGGCTATATCTCAGCTGCAGCATCTGCTATTAATGGAAAGTAGTTCTTGAGGCTTTCCAGCAAAATAGTGGGTATTGAGGGGTGATCTTTTTGGGGGTTGGGAGATTTTCCTCCTCTTTCACTCTGCTTTAAGTGTAAGATTCACCTCATGGGAGAACCAACCCTATTTCTTTGATGTGAAAAAAGACTGGCAATGGCATTTGGGGAATGCATAAAGATTCAGCTCCTTCATGAATCCACGCTCCATTGTACAGTTTCCATTTTCCCCCAGTAGTTCCTGCCAACTGGTACTTAAGATACCTATATTGGAGGCCATCAACAAATCTTGAGGTTTTAAATTTCAGAATATCATTATGTGCTTAGTGGAACGTCTTCCTTTTGTCTTTGTTCAGTTTCCCATGACAGTATGTATGACAGAAGGAGAAAAACTTCTATCCGTGGCTAGGCTTATATACTTCAGGTTGTTGTAGGTTTTTCAGGCTATATGGCCATGTTGTAGAAGCATTCTCTCCTGACTTTTCGCCTTCATCTATGGCAGGCATCCTCAGAGGTTGTGAGGTCAGACCTCACAACTTCGAGGATGCCTGCCATAGATGCAGGCGAAATATCAGAGAATGCTTCTAGAACATGGCCATATAGCCCAAAAAACCTACAACAACCTAGTGATTCCGGTCATGAAAGCCTTCGACAATACATTTATATACTCCCCCCCCCCCAAAGTCCTAAATGTAATCTTTCATTATAGGACAGTTGCTCCAGCTTTTTCATCAGTTGTTTTCGTTCATGTATTTTTTGTAGGTTTTCTGTATGATACGCTTTTTGAGATGTGTTTACCCATACAATGGTTGCTCTGTAGATTTATATAAAAACATTCCAGTCTTGGAAATGCATTTATGATTCCTTTCCCAGTCAACCCTATTGTGTACTTTTCACGCCTATTATACCTTGGATCAAATTCTTCATTGGAAGACAACCCTAAGATCTCATTTTGTATTTCAGATTGCATCTATACATGGCCCAGTTAGAACTTTTTGCCTCCATGTGTATCTTTGCACTTCCTCGCGTTATAATGTGTACATAATTTATACTTTATATTGTAAAGTTTACATTGAGGTACAGATTCTGATTCACCCATTTGTGTGAAATTCTGTTGGAATTAATTGTAAAACCCTGCTTTTTAAAACCCTTCTGAATATTTTGTTGTTACCTGAAACTTGGTTATCATGCTGCTCATTCCTAATTAGTAATTACAGATCATTTATTAACTAATCTAATTCCAATCCCTGATTCTTGGCTGGTGGTATTTCACTTTTCATAACTCCATGTGAAGATTGTCCATTGATTCCTTTCCATATACTGGTGTTAGATCAAGGCCACAATAAGAGGGATATTTGTCCATTGAAATAATCATTTGTATATACATTGGTTTCTTGTAAATGTCTGTTCATCACAATGATTCTTTAACCAGTCCTTGATGTAGGACCTGGTCATTTTTATTCTTGAACCCTTGGAGAGTTTGTATATATGAGAGGAAAGTTTAGGTAAGCAGTTCTGTAAATACTAGCAAAACGAACAGCATTTGTCTTCCCCCAAAATGCCCTAGACCTGGCCTGCATTCATAAAGATATTAGGCAAAGGCATATTAATTTGTTTAAGGTTTCCTCAGAAGGAAGGGACTCCGAGGTTACACAACCATGGCTGGCAGTTCTGTCACTTACCTGAAATGTCAGGATGTGCCCAGAGGGTCTCTTCCTGCAATTGATATATTTGATTTATATTGTTTGGTGACAGTGAACCCTCCACAATGTGAATCTTTTCCACATTCTGTGTGCACTTTAAGAGCTTGTCTGTATTTTGTTTGAATGTGAACCCTACAGGTGCAAATAAATACCATGTATATTAGCACTCTTTGGTGTGTGACTCATTTTTTCTAGCTCATCCAAGCAAATTGTGAGAGATATTTTGGACAAGAAGAGAGGAAAATTGATATCCCATGCAGTCTTGAAGTTGTAAAGCAAGAGTAGAAATGATGCAGTTCTGCATGATCTAGAATTTCCATTGTGAGGGGTTTGGCCTCCAATTCAGTGGAAAGTGGCTGGGGACAGGGCTGGCAATGGGGGAGCCAATTTTCTGGCAGTGGCATACAACACCTTCACATGGACACCACCAGAACAGAATTATATCAGAACATCTTTAAGGGGGGAAACTGAGATATGATCTAGTGAATGAATGGGAATCACACAGAGTAGACCTCCCCTACACCCTTTGGTTTAGTGGGGAACTGCTCTGTGTATTTATTCTAAGTTTAAGTGGATGGAGGCCCCAGTGGTGCAGCGGGTTAAACTGCTGAACTTGCTGACCGAAAGGCCAGGGAGCAGAGTGAGCTCTCGCTGTTAGCCCTAGCTTCTGCCAATCTAGCAGTTGAAAAACATGCACACGTGAGTAGATCAATAGGTACCACTCTGACAGGAAGGTAATAGTGCTCCATACAGTCATACTGGCCACATGATGTTGGCGGTGTCTATGGACAATGTCGGCTCTTCAGCTTAGAAATGGAGTTGATCACCCCCCAGAGTCAGACATGACTAGACTTAATGTCATGGGGAAACCTTTTCTTAACTGGACATTTTAGATTAATGCATACTATTAAATCCCAGTATTTAGAGAGGCACTACACCATCCAGGCTGAAATTCAAATGCCCTGTTCCTAAACTGCAAATACTAGGATTCCATAGGGTATTGCCATGCCAGTTAAAAGTGGAATCATGGTGCTATAATTGCACAGTGTGAAAGGGCCCTGCAATAAGTATACGATTGCTTTACATTTTCCTCTCAGTGTCAAACTCTGGATCTCAGAAAACCTATGAAACTATAAGATAAATCAAGATCCATTCAGCAGAGCATACAAACTCATTCACAAGCCTCAGTCTTTTATTAAAAATGTGTATGCTTTATTCAGGTCCCATTGATGTTTGAACAAATCAAAGTAGTCAAAGTGAACATTTCCGAATCGGAAGCAGGAATGTCTATTTAATTCCATTTTGGCATCAAGATATAATCTTTCTTCCCTCCCATCTAATATATTTCTCTGATGAAGAAAACCCAATAGCAACTCCGATCAATTCACCTCCTATGCACATTATAATCTTTGCATCATGTGAAGTGACTTCACTCTGTTCTATGCTTTTTAATATCTACCATTTCTGCCATGCAGTGGGGATTTGTTAGAGCTGTTTAGAGGGTCAAACCAAATACTTTTAGCCCTTGTTGTCTGATATAGTATATATAAGTTTAAATTAAATAGCTAGCTCTGGATAAGGTTGGGACCATGGCATATGATGGGGAGATGGAAGGTTAAACCTATCAAATTGAATAATTATGGGCTACCCCGCCTCTATTTATAATAGGAGGAAAGCTTTTGAGATGCTATCAGTATGTATATACAATATTGAATTAAATAGCACAGTGATCTGATTCAATGGCTGTATTTGCAGAAAACCAGAGTGCTTGGCTTCTCTTGGTTTACTGGCACACACAGCATTTTCACTCCTACTTCACACAAAATGTCTAAATAAATATCACAGAAAAAGATTTGTGTGAGAGTTGAACCTGAACTCCTTGTTTGTTGTTTCCAACATACCAGGGTCATAAAACGAGAATAAATCAGAGCTTCTTGCTGGGCTAGAAATTCTGGATTCTGCATAGTCTTTAACTCACATAAATCAGATGCAGTGTGGCTCACACAAATGCATGTTGGCAGTAGCTCTGTTCATTTCCCTAGGCCTTGGTAATGGTCACTTCTGTTGCATTCTCCAAAGCATGGGGACTCATTCCGCAGGTCTCATGGTTAGGAGTTATTGGTCACAAGATGAAAGAGCCCTCTGCATCAATGTCCTCAAGCTCTTGGATGTTCTAAAAATCTTTCAATCTTTTAAGCAATTTCTATGACAAAGTTTTTCAAATAGTTTCAGACAACACCACCGTGATCCTCTACCTGAACACACAAGGAGGTGTCTGATTAGATTCCCCCACCTTGCAATAAAGTTGTGGGATTGGTGCATCCTATGTGACCTTCATCCACTTTTCAGGGGAGCAGATGCTCTAACAGATGCTTTGAGCTGAGCACTTGTGTGCTGTCATGACTGAAATTGGGCTGTTTCAGAATTGGGCTGCACTGACCATCAACTTGTTTGTGTAACTTCAGAACAAGCAATGCGAAATCTTCTGTTCATGAACCCACAGAGATGGGCTCTCATGGCAGTAATAACAAAGATTCAACAGGACAAGTCCATATATATCCTGTGTGGTTGCCCAGGCAGTTTCGTTTCAGCATCTTTCCAGAAGTCAGTATCATAAGCTTCCACTGCATCCAGATCTATTAACCATCCACAACAGCAGTGGGCATCCAGATCTTCAACAATTAAGCCCAAGACTTGGAAGATCTTTCTCTGATTCCTTTGTCTAAGGCCCCATCTACACTGCCTTGTATTCGAGGATCTGATCCCAGATTAACTAATTTAAACTGGATAATATGAATCTCCCAGATAATCTGGAATAAGAAGTTAATCTAGAATCAGAACCTGGGATATAGGGGCAGTTTGGAAGGGGCCTGAATCAGTTATTGCTGCAGCTCAGAAGACATCAACTCAGTGCTCATACATTACAAATGGCAAAAGTGTCCCGAATTCCTTGTTCTTAAAGAGGTCTCTCCAAATGAAGTGGCTATTGCCCATACTTTGGACTTTTTGGTCTTCTTGTTCAGAGGTTTGTCCTTTTCCTTTATCATGGGAGCTATGTTTTCAATGCCTTGACAAATCCTCCCACTTCTTGAATCCACTGGTCAAGACATTCTTGAAAGGTTATAAAAATTTGTCCTTTTGAGCTAGGCCCAGGCACCCACTGGAGCTTAGAACTGGTTTTTTTCTTGACAGTCCAGGAAATTCCTGGAATCCATGGCCTAAGACTGCTTACCTGGAAAACAGTCTTTCTAGTGGCAGTTATCTCTACCAAATGAGCCATTCTCAGAGGATGAACCAACCTTATATTTGCTTCCATAAGATAATGTAATCATGAGACCAGATACTTCAATTTTGCGAAAAGCTGTATCTGCCTACTATCCAAGTCAGGACATTATTCTTTCAGAATCCTACTGCTGGCTTGGTGAGTTCTGTACATTGCCTAGATGGAAGCAGAACATTGGTTTTTTACACTGATTGTACTTCTTCAGTTTGTCAGTCCCAAAGAGTCTTCCTATGTTACTCATCTACAAAGAAGGGGTTGCCTGTTTCTACACAACTCCTTTGCAGTTGAGTTGCTGGAAGTATTCATCTGGCTTATGATCTAGCAAACAAATAGCCACCTGCCCAAGGAAGAAGCTGCTCAACCCAAGCTGTTACTGCATATACTGCATTTCTGGAAGGGGTTCCTCCATGTGACATCTATAGAGCTGCTATCTGGTCTAGATTCACTATATCTCATTATAAACTTGGCTTAAGGTCCCAGATATTGATTGTATATGGGAGGCAGGTCTCTTTTTCTGTGTGACATGATATTCCTACCTCTATAGTGAGTAGCTGTGTGTTTCGTGGAAAAGAAGGACAAGTTGATTTCCTGTGACTAATTCTTCAAGTGATCATCTATTAAGTCACACAGTATCACCTCCATCCCCTTACCCTGTCCTGTCTTCTTCTTATATCTTTGGCTTTTGCTTTTGTGGCTATGGAACTGAAGGTTTTAGACAGGAAGTGCACTAGTATGACATGCAGGTGAGGGGAGAGAAACCACCAAAAGCACTTGTGTAATATCTCTAGAAAGATCTGAATGATGCACTTCTCTGGTGAACCAAATGTGTGAGTTCACAGACAAGCACTAAAAAAGAAAACAATTACAGGTAAGAAACCTGTCCTCCCTTGGCAACAACAAACCAGGAGCACACACGTTGATGTCACCTAGAGCTTTCAATTTTCATGTGCTTTGCCCACTTGAATGAAGTATAGGGTGAAGTTAGATGAATTCTCAGTAAATGTCACGAATCCTGGGCATTTTGTTATTTACAAAGAATAAATCATTTTCCTGTGTTCTTATGACCATATATAACAATGGAAGTGACTGGATGACTTCTGCCAACTCCAATTCTCTGGCTGAGTAAACAGAAAAAACCAGGACTTCACGGGTCACAAAATTTTTGATTTAGAAATCTGTTTCTTTTCCACTGTCCTGGTGGGCTTTTCCTGTCAGTCCTAACATGGATCTTCTTGAACTGACTTTGCAAGGACCTCATTCAGCTCCAAGTCAGGTTCCCTCTGTAGCATCTTCTGCTGCAGTTCGGAGTAAAAATCAACACCCTCAGAAATAGAGTGGAGAGATTTTTCTCGCTGCTGGTAGAAGCTACTACTTTGTTCTCTGTGGTGTTGGTATTGAGGTGGCATGAAGCACTGGCGGGGTTGAGACTGGTCTGTTGGGAAGGTCCCTTCACAGGCTTTCTCAAGGTTGCGCTTGAACGCCAGCACTGTCTTGGTATATGAGTTCAGGGTTGTAACTGCAGAAGCCATGCAGCAAGTAAAGGAAGCCCAGGCCATGCTGAAAAAGAAAGGCATGGAGAATAAGAGTGAAAGAAGTGTCTCCTCACTTCTAGCAATGGAGATGGAATTTCTCACTGTCTGTCCAAATATGAAATGTTTCCCACCTTTACAGCACATTTTGGGAGGATGAAAGAGGCAGTGTGACCTGAGGGGTGGAATAGAGGAGGCAAAGTGCAGCCCTAGGACTGTGTGCAGCCCTTTTCCCAACTCATGTTGTGCCCCCACTCCATTTCTTTTGCTAGACTGCCATTTTAATGGCCAAAAATAAAGACAAATTACCTCTCCCAGAAACTTGCAAGCAGGGGAATTCGTATTTTAGATCCACACTCTTTAGCATAAATAATACCTTTTTTCACACTTTGCAAAATAAGTAATACTTTTTTTTCCACGAACAACCACTTCTGGGTTAGTGTGCAAGTGTGTTGTATGTGTGTTTTCCTCTCTTGGCAGCCAATGCAATCTGGAGAGAGATCCGGTGTAGAAACTGGTCCATGAACCCATCTTCTGTTTATTTGGGACTACATTCAAATCCCTTCTTAACTGTGAAATTCACTGGGTGATTTAGGGCCAGTCATTATTATTTAACTCAGTGTAACAGACACAATTGTTAGGAGAGGGGTAAAGGGTGTGTACAGCTCTCAGTCACTTGATTGGAAATGTTTATGTAACTGTACTGACATCAATAAATATATAGAGCAGGGGTCCCCAAACTAAGGCCCAAGGGCCGGATGCAGCCCTCCAAGGTCATTTACACACCCTCACCATAAACTTTAGACTTAGGGTCACCCTAAGTCAAAAACAGGAGTCCTCAAACATTTTAAACAGAGGGCCAGGTCACAGTCCTTTAAACTGTTGGAGGGCTGGATTATAATTTGAAGAAAACATGAATGAATTCCTATGGACACTGCACATATCTTATTTGTAGTGCAAAAAACAATAATTAAAATATGTTGTTCAGGCTTGGCCCTATGTAACCGGCTCCTAGTCCCTATCAGGGAGATGGTGGCGGGATATAAATAAAGTTTATTATTATTATTATTATTATTATTATTAAAATGAATAACAATTTTAACAAATATAAACTTATTAGTATTTCAATGGGATGTGTGGGGCTGCTTTTGGCTGATGAAATAGGGTTGTTGTTGTCGTTGTGTGCTTTTAAGTCATTTCAGACTTACGTTGACCCTGAGCAAGGGCTGGGTAAATGACCTTTGAGGGCCATATCCGGCCCCTAAGCCTTAGTTTGAGGAACCCTGGTCTAAAAGGACTTGAAGGCACACAAGAAAAACCATCCTAATTAACTTGACTATCTCATCAGCCAAATGCACTTCTTCTTTTGGCTCTTGCCTTAGCTGTTATCATTAGCATCATTCGAACATGCTAAAGCACTCCCTCCCCAGGAAGATTAGGCTAGCACCCTCACTGTCTACTTTCCGTAAAGAGTTAAAGACATGGATGTTCCGCTGTGCTGTTGAGTAGTCAATTGCTTAGATAGTTGGCTCCAGCTAGGACCCTAAGTCTGGTCCTTGCACTTTACTATTCCGCCTATCTTTACTGCTGCCATATGATCCATGCACTTTACTATTTAGCCCTATTCTTTAAGTTATTGTTGCACCAGTCCACCCACCCGTGATAAACTGACTTTTGTTATTGGTTTTGGATTTTAATGCCTCTTTTATATTGTTACAATGTTGTAGTTTTACTTTGTTTTACACTGTTGTTACATATTTTAATGTGTTACATTTTAACTGTCTTGATCGGGCTTGGCCCCATGTAAGCCACCCTGAGTCCCTTTGGGGAGATGGAGGTGGGGTACAAAAATAAAGTTATTATTATTATTATTATTATTATTATTATTATTATTATTATTATTATTATTAGGGTGCAGAAATATTGTACTAGTTGTGCTGTAAAAAATATCACTTATTCTCCTTCACCATCCCTTTCTGTTTTCATGCCATGTGTTTCAAGTCTCCAAGTTGGCAGGCTGGGTCCATATTTCAAAACTATATGAATTCCATTCCTGGAGTCTTTGTGGACAAGAAATAGGGCAAAAAAAAACTTTACTTATATGTATGTATAAGAAGCCTGGGGGTTGAATCCCATTAAGTGCTGGGAGAAAGGTAGCATGTGGTACAAATGAAACCAATACAAACCCAGAGCATAAGAAAAATTTCCCATGGAAATATAAAATGCTACCATTGTAGCAAATTCTACCTCGGTGTACGAGTTTTGTGTATCCCTAATTTTCAGCTGCTATTTAACCATCTTCCAGCTTTGAGAAAATAATGCAAAACAAACCATGCAAGTAAACCCACAAATTAACCATGACCCCAAGGCATTAAGCAAATTGCCAGTCCTGGCTGCTAGTCCTGAAGTGCATAGATACAGAATCAAATGGAAAGCCTCAGGGTTTTTGTCCCTAACAGGATCATAAAGGAAAAGGATGAGTCACCAGGAGAATGACAGTAAACACAGGAGCACTGTAGGCCAGCATCTTTAAATTGAAGACTTGTAAGCAAAGAAGGGTATTCTAGAGGGGCATGAAGTCATACAACAAGACTTGTAAATGTGGTTTCTTGAATTCGGGTGACCAAGGGGAGATTTACAAATATAAGCATTGTCTCTAGATGTGAAGCAAGTTCAGTATGCAAGGATTTATAGGATTCTAAAATCCCTATCCATCACTGTATTGGGGATTTTGTGAAATGCAGTTTAAAAAAGGTACACCCACACAGATACACTCGAATATATTGACCTGAGAATATATATACGGGGATGTTGTGAATGTAAAATGCTCTGTCACTGTGATCTCACTTTGAGAAAGAAAATTGTAATTATGGGTGGTAGATTATATATTCAAAGTCCCATGTTTGATTTCTGTTAAGGCTGGCCTTAACACTGGGCACAGTAAGGCTTTAGGCAGTAGATGCTCTTGGAGGAGAAGAGGGCTGTGTGTCAGTGCTGAAGTAAAACTCAACTGTCAGTCCAATTGGCACATGGAAAGGGAGGAGGCATAATCCTCATAAAACCAAGTGACTTGAATCTGTGATGAACCCTACTACCTCCAGCTAATGGATCACTTAGGTACAGGGCCTGGGTTGGGGAGTTGTACTCCAAAAACAACATTTCCTAAGCCCAAGGTCAGCATTTTAAGAGCAATACTATAAACATATTTTCATAAAGAAATATAGCGCATACTAGAAAGCCCATCCATAGTCCCACGAATGTGGTCTCCAGTCTTCCGGTCCCAGGTTAACAGTTGCCTGGAAAACTTGACTGTACATCATGTGAGCCACCATCCCAAGGAGGCCTACAATGAGAGCAAAGGGGGGAAATGTCATCTACTCCAAGCCACAGGTTAGAAGAGAGAGACATTGCATATTTCTCCTTCCCTGCTCCCTCTTCTTGTGGAAGTCTTTTCCAGCTTTGAAGATTTGTGAAATGCTTTTGTGACTTGAAGCTCACTGGGTCATTCTAGTTTCCCCTTGGTTCTCTTGTCATATTTCCTATTTCCTCTCTTTTGTTTTCTTTGCATTGTTTTGCTTTTTTCTATCATGGTTGCCTTAAAAATCATATGCTAATTGTATGTATTATTGCAAACTTAGGAATTAATTGTGAGTGTATTTGTCTTAAATAATAATAATAATAATAATAATAATAATAATAATAATAATAATAACTTTATTTTTAAACCCCACCAACCATCTCCCCCAAGGGGACTTAGGGCAGCTTACAAAGGGACAAGCCCAAAAATTACAGATAAAAACAGAGACACAATTAAAATCAATGAATAAAATAATAAAACAAACACAGTCATAACAACATCATAAAAACAATATGGCTGAGATAAAGGAAACATAGCTGAGTTCAGTCACCTGTTGACTTATGGCAACTCCATGGATTTCATAAGGTTTTGCTTAATCAAATTACTCAGAGATAGTTTTGCCGGTTGATTCTTCTTAAATATAACCTAAAGCTCTTGGCATTCATTGTTGATCTCTCATTCTCAAGTATTAATCAGAGCTGAACTGGCTTAGTTTCCAAGGCCAGACATGATCTGGTGTCTTTAGGTATTTAGGCTCCAGAAATTAATTACCAAACTTGAAATGCGTCTCAGTACTTAAGAAAACTGTAACAAGGTGACCTATGGACATAGGTCAGCTTCTTATAGTTCTTTCCTTACTTGAAGGGCCTGGAAAACCCTTCAGGTAAGGAAAACCCTGGGCATCCCTTGAAGTTAATGTCTGTTAAGTGGCATGGTCATTCAATGCATCCAAAGCTCTTACCTGACAATACAGAGGAGACGGCAGCAAAGGCGTTGAGTTTCATTCCACAAACTGGGTTTCCAGTGTATAACATGTCCAGAAGCAGAAGGATGAAGCTAATCACCAGTAAGCATATGTACACTATCTCTGATCCAAGAGACAGCCAAAGGATGCCTGTTGCACAAATCAGTCAAAGTTACAACACAGAACAGAAATCTCTTATCTTCTTCCTATTCTCACTAAACAAGAGGTGAGAAATTAAATTACTGTAGACTTGCTGAAATGGCATACATGTGTCTGACAGATGCCCAGCAGTATCCTCAGATTTGGCAGCCCAGAGGGCAGCAAAACCAGGATGCTTAATAGTGAGGCCCCAAGTTGTCTGCCAAATGTGAGTGCTATGCTGTTTTTCCCTTCATGAAACACACAATGCACACCATACAACTGTCCCAATCTGGCAGGAAATGTTCCAAGTAATCCTCTGTTGTCCCACTTGGCCACGTGTATCTCACTTTTCAGCTGTGGAATGTTGTGTTGATATGAAAGAAAGCAGGCCTGTTCTAGTTCATAGTGAACATTCCCATATCCCCCCCCCCCCCCCGAGCAATGTTAAGTGACTGTTAAGGAGAAGCTTTTAAATTCAGGTTAACCATCATTTTGGTATCCCAAAAGGTTTTTATCAGTCTCCCATAAGATATGCTGTGTCCTGCTAATAGAAATTGTTCAGTATTTACCTGGCCTTGGAAACTGGTCTGGGAATTTTAATAACCCCAATTACAAAATATACTTCCATCAGCATGATTTGTGTGGGGAAGGAAATTGGAATTCTTTTTCCCAGATGAAATCAACCAATCAACCATAATACAAATATGTACCATGAAAGAGAACAGTACAGCACAGAGCCAGCTCACCATCATTAGGCAAAGGAAGGAGGTTGCCTCTGGGGAAAAACATACAACACCCACAATCCCAAACCTCCTTCACATATGTTTTCAGCTCCTGGACATAGAGTGAGAGGGGTGCCATTTTGTTCTTCATTTCCATGCCCTTCTACAGCAGCCCACAGCACTTTATACATGGTGTGGTTTTGCTGGAAAATTGTGCTCATTCCTAAAGCAAGTCAAACACAAGCTCTAACTTTTACCTCTTTCTGCTGGAGGGGAAAGTTCAATGAAACTGCGACACTTGTCATCTGAAAGAAATAAATAAATAAAGAATATGCAAGACAGACACATAAATTACCTCCCAACAAAAGATTCCCCCAGGCAGTAAGAAGCCAGACCTTGAAATTGCTAGGCTATTCATTGCTAATCAAGGTGGCCAATTACACCTACCTCAAACAGACAAAAGCTCTTTCTCCCACCCTGGACATTCCACAGTTATATAAACCCAATTTTCCTAGTTTCCAACAGATCCCTCAACCACTGAGGATGCCTGCCATAGATTCAGGCAAAATGCTTCTGGAACATGGCCATACAGCCCAAAAAACCTACAACCCAGACACATACATGTTTGAATGTATTATTGTTGAAATTCTAATTAATCTGCCTCATTTGTCAGAAACAGCCCCAATTAATCCCCTACCATCTCACTTTTCATTTGATTCTAAAATGTCCCAGTTCATCTCTCCTCCTGTTGTCTTCATGGCTAGAAACAGACCTTGAAGTGCAAACTCCATATGCATTCAGTTGATTCAGCAGGGGGCAGAGGAGATGGTAACATCTTGCCCTTTTCTGTATACTAAGTCAAAAGCAAGCAGCTACATCTACTCATAACTTGGTTTTACTTCATTAATAAAGTTTCCCGTATTAGTCATATGCTGATGTTGTTCAGTCACATGCATCTGTTTTGAATTTATGACGTATGGGAGGGTATGCCATACAGTATATGCAGTGTTGATGACTGCCAAGCTTATTTATGATTTTCTATTCACTGATAAACAAGTACCCACTCTGTTCCAAAGACTTCCTTAATTATATTGCCTTTTAGGCTTCTGGCTTTGCAGATTATATTCCCAAGACACAGGTTTGTTTGCTAAAGTTAGTGTGTCCTCTCTACTTGAATATCAGGTTTTTTTCTCTCTCTCTGCCTGCAACACTAATCTCTCTGAATCCCTATGCATCATTCCATTTAGTTCTTTGGCACCCAGAATTCCTACCAATTCAGCAACAACTGCACAGCCCTATGCACTACTTCATGGGTGATTGGATAAAGCTGACCCTGCTGACTAATATCTTGATCTTATGCCTATTAGGGGAATATACATTGTGTCGATTGCAATGGAAACTGCTTTCAGATTACTGCTATATCATAGTAGGATTGTATAAGCCGATCTCTTCTTGATATATTATAGACATTTCATTATGGGTGCCAGAGGCTAAGGAATGCTTCATAGCCTTTGGTCCCATCCTATACTGACAAACAAAACAAAACAAAACAAAACAAAACAAAACAAAACAAAACAAAACAAAACAAAACAAAACAAAACAAAACAAAACAAAACAAAACAAAACAAAACAAAACAAAACAAAACACAAAACATCATCACATGAAATCATTCCATGGTGATCCATGTTTTGCTCACACCCCAAATAGATTACTGCAATGCCCTCTATGTGGGGTTACCTTTGAAGACTGTTTGGAAGCTTCAAATGGTCCAATGGACAGCAGCCACATTGATCACCGGAGCAGCATACAGGGAGCATACAATCCCCCTGTTACGTCAGCTCCACTAGCTGCCAGTCTGCTACCGAGCACAATTCAAAGTCCTGGCTTTAGCCTATAAAGCCCTAACTGGTTCTGGCCCAACTTACCTGTCCAAACGTATCTCCTCCTATGAACCACCTCAGAGATTAAGATCATCTGGAGAGGCCCTGCTCTCGGTCCCACCCTCTTTTCAGGCATGACTGGTGGGGTTGAGAGACAGGACCTCTTCAGTGGTGGCTCCTCGGCTGTGGAACTCCCTTCCCAGTGATATTAGAGCAGCTCTCTCCCTTCTGGCCTTCATAAAAAAGTGAAAACCTGGCTCTGGAATCAAGTCTTTGGAGATTAACTAAAGGGCAATAATAGCTATAGAATTATGTGCAATGACTTTTGGAACGGCCCTGGATTATGATTGTGGATGGCATGATTTTTAATAGTGATTGTAATGTTTTATATGTTTTTAATGTGCATTTATTTTAAATTTTAAATCTTTAACTTAATGTATTTTAACTGTTTGTTGTTCAAAGGCATTGAATAGTTGCCATATGTAAAGCCACTTTGAGTCCCCTTCGGGGTAGAGAAAGGTGGGATATAGAGTAAATAAAATAAAATTCATTAGAAAAAAGCTGAGTTTGAAAAAAGTTCTTCTTTGGATCATGGCCTCTAAAATCTTCCATTTTAGCCTTTCTGAGTTCACATTTGGCAGAGTTTGCCAAATACAGATAGAACGCAAATAGCTAATCCAGTGACTTCTAAAAGGCAGTCCTAACAGTACCTTTATGAGACTGAATTCCAACATATACTTTAATTCTTATTGTTAGCTAAGCCAGTGCTAGTTATCATCTGGAGTGGGCAGAAAATATCAGGACCAGCTAGGGATGCAGTTCTTTGGTAATCTCATTCTTAAAGAAAGCACTGTGTAAATCCAATAATTTTCCTCTTGTTGTAAGAAAGTCTTTGAAAACTGTGCAAGACATATTCTGTCCCAAATTTGCACATTTGTTTTGTGCAGAAAGCAGTATTTTTTTTGCAGAGGAACATCAACATTTATTGCATAGAAAATATTTCTGTACCAAAATATTATCTATATGAAATAGCATTTTGTATGCAGAAAGCATCCCTTTCCCCCCACAAAGGATCATATTGTTAAGGAGAAGCACTTCTATGTTTTTATGTTGTGTATTCCTGCAGGGCAAGAGGTTGCACCAAATGCCCTTCCAGATCTGTGATTATACTATTGATTTATGTTTACCTTGTAGGTTACTAAGATTTAGTAAGTTACTTGTGTCCCCTGAAAGCATTCTGTTGAACTTGGCTGAAACCTTCAGATTATCTCAGTTGGAAAGTTGAAACAATAAGGGGTACATCTACACTGACCATTTCATATAGTTACGCATACAAGGCACACTGAATGTATGCTACAGTGTGCTTTGAGCCTTTAAATCAAGATAAGCAAAGTCAGGGGATACTCCTAAATAAAGCTCTTAATGCACATTTGTGCACTTCGAAATAAACCACATTGCATGGCGAAAGTGACTCTGGAAAATATGAATTGCTAAGCACCTGCTGATCTGCACATGCGCATTCTGCTGGGGAGAGTTGTAAAAAGCCCCACACTTTCCGCAGCTGTCAAGGCATAGATACTGTAAGCCTAGAACCAGTTTGAGACCAACCTCTGTGGTCTTGTAGGTACCATCCAGCATCCAAACCAGTTCTAGGACTTGCAATGAAATCATCTGTACAGTGAAACCTCTATGCTGGTTTTACCTCAGATTAAGTGGCTAGTGTAGATGTGCCCAAATTTTCCCCTGTCAGTTTATCTGAGATTAATTGCATTTGTCTCCCATAATACTTTGATTAGAACTGCCTTCCTCAGAAGCCATTCCACTTGGTCACTACTCATCTCATATATATGCATATGTTGCCATTACCTTTTATATAGTGTTTCTCTTACATGATAAAACACTGGTTAAAACAAACTGTCGGCCACCTTAAGTGCTCAGATTGAGAGGCTGTACATAAAAATTGGTTGTCTGGCTAAAATTGGAAACTTTAAAGGCTCAATCCTCTGCCATTTTAAGGCCTATCTACATGAAACCTACCTCAGTTGTAGATCCCATTTACAACTGCAAGCCTGCCAAGCTTCAAAACAGTTTACCAATCTAATGATTTTTACGGATTATTTTAAGTTTTAAACATAACATTTTTAAAAATAAGACAAACCGCAAGAGAGATTTCTGGGAATTGTACTTGCTAGTTGTGTCCACTCTCAGCCAATCATACCATGGACACCATCAGACATTTTATGGGCAGAGTGACACAGAGAGAGTACTGTCTGGAGATCTTACCTGAGCCTTCTATGTTCTCTTCACATGAAAGCCATAATCCTGTGTGAAAGTAACGGAAGGCAAACCGATCATCACCCGTCTCCCAGCTATAGTGCACCACATCCTGAGGCAGAAATGATACATTGCCAGCCAAGACTTCAGGAGGCATGGGGACACCAATGCACTTGGTGGTCTTTGTCTTCCCACATAAAGGTTTGGGAACCTTCTGGGTTCCAACGCACCAATAGCTACCCAGTAAGGCTGTAGTAGACAGGCTAAGGGCGAGCAAGTTCAGTAACACAGCCAAGAAAGCACGGCGCCAAGGGAGGATTTTCTGAAGTTCCATCTGCAAGATAGAAATAGGCAGGTATCAGAAATATGCTCCCATGTTGCCCTTCACTACTGATGGTAATTGGGAGAGATTCCCTCAGAACCAGAGCAAGTTAAGGAAGAAACGTATATGTGAAACAGAGCTGGGGAAAGCTTTTGACCTACAGGTTTGGAGGACTTTAGTTTTTTAGAAGAAGAGTATATTTTCAGGAACAGCAAAAGTTCAATGTTTCACTCATTTAAAACTATATTTAGCAAAAATAATATAGAGAGTACAGTATAACATTTATATTGTACTAGCTGTGCCCTGCCACGCGTTGCTGTGGCCTATAGTAAAACTTATCAAAGTTGAGGTAGATATCTGGACTATTATGAAAGAGAGGTACCTACCTATTCCTTCCCCCTTTTCCTCCCCCTTTCTCTCCTTTCTTCCTTCTCTACCTCTTTCTTTCTTTCCTTCTTTCACTACTTGGTTTCATCCTTCTCTTTCCTTCATTCCCTCCCCCTTTCTTCCTTTGCCTTTCTTCCCTCCCTGTTTGCTTCCTTCTTTCACTTTTTATTTCCTTTTATTTCACCACCATCATAACAATAACAATAATGCAATGCATTGCCTCTGGGACCTGACACCTCTCCCATTCCCCTTAAAAGGGTCTCATAGGAATCATAGCATAATAATAATAATAGAAATAACAACCTTTACCCGCCACGCGTTGCTGTGGCCAACCTTCCCTCTTTCTCTCCTTCTTTCCCTCCTTCCTTCCTTCCCCATCTTTCCTTCTCCTCTTCCTTCTCTATCTCTTTCCTTCCTTCCCCCTTTTTCTTTCTCTTCTGGTCTCTTTTCTTCCTTCTCTCTTTCCTTCTTTCCTTCCCTCCCTCTTTCTCTACATCTTCCCCCTTCCTTCACTCCCTCTTTCCTTCTTTCATTCCCTTTTTTCTTTCCTTCTCTCCTTCTTTCCTTCCCCCTTTTTCTTTCTCTTCTGTCTCTTTCTTCCTTCTTTCTCTTTCTTCTTTCCTTCCCTCCTCTTTCTCTTCCCCTTCCTTCTCCTCCCTCTTTCCTTCTTTTCCTTTCCTTTCCTTCTCTCCTTCCTTCCTTCCCCTTTCTTTCCCTCCCTCTTCTCATTTCTTCTTTCTCTATCTCTTTCCTTCCTTCCCCCTTTTTTGTTCTCTTCTGCTGTCTCTCTTTTCTTTCCTTCCATCTTTCCTTTTCTTTCCTTTTCTTCTTCCTCTAACTTTCCTTCCTTCCCCCTTTTTCTTTACCTCCCTTTCTCTTTCTTCCTTCTTTCCTTCCTTCCTGTCTTTCCTAGATTTTGACAGGGCGGGAAGGGGGGGGGTGGGGTTTGGAGGTGGCGTGAAGTAAAAGGAGGTAAGATTGGGGCAGGGGAGTGATGGAGCGTGGGGTTGTGTGTGTGTGTGCGGCGGCGGGGGGAGTGATGGAGCGTGGGGTTGCGTGTGTGTGTGCGGCAGCGGGGGGGAGTGGGGTTGCGCGTGTGTGTGTGGCGGTGGGGGGAGTGATGGAGCGTGGGGTTGCGTGTGTGTGTGCGGCGGGGGAGTGATGGAGCGTGGGGTTGTGTGTGTGCGTGCGGCAGGGGTGTGTGTGCGGGAAGCGGCGCGGCGGGGCTTGGAGTGGGCATGGCTTCTGCAGAGGGAACGTTGGCCGGAAGACTGTGTGCGCGCGCCAGGGAACTTGCGGCTGGGCACCAATGCGCATGCTCAGTTGTTTTGCCGTTTTGTGAGTGTGTTGTTGTGTTGTTTTTCATTTTGAGTAGATATGTTTGTACCTTGTGGGTTGTGTTATGGGCATGGGAATTTTGGTTAAGTTTCGTTGGGTTTTTGAGTTTTGTTGTTTTGCCATTTTGTGAGTGTGTTGTGTTGTTTTTCATTTTGAGTAGATATGTTTGTACCTTGTGGGTTGTGTTATGGGCATGGCAATTTTGGTTAAGTTTCGTTGGGGTTTTTTGAGTTTTGTTGTTTTGCCGTTTTGTGAGTGTGTTGTTGTGTTGTTTTTCATTTTGAGTAGATATGTTTGTACCTTGTGGGTTGTGTTATGGGCATGGCAATTTTGGTACAGTTTCGTTGGGGGGTTGTGGAGTTTTGCTGTCTGGTTGAACCAACCTAACAGATTTATATATATAGATACTACAATGTATATAATACAATATATTCTATATAATATGTGAGAGGAAGCCACAGGGAGGAGGGAGCAAGCTTGTTTTTTGCTTCCTTGGAGACTAGGACGCGGAACAATGGCTTCAAACTACAAGAGAGGAGATTCCATCTGAACATGAGGAAGAACTTCCTGACTGTGAGAGCCATTCAGCAGTGGAACTCTCTGCCCCGGAGCGTGGTGGAGGCTCCTTCTTTGGAAGCTTTTAAACAGAGGCTGGATGGCCATCTGTCAGGGGTGATTTGAATGCAATATTCCTGCTTCTTGGCAGGGGGTTGGACTGGATGGCCCATGAGGTCTCTTCCAACTCTTTGATTCTATGATTCTATGATTCTAATAAGAGGTAATCCAGAAAGAGAGACTTTGGCATTTGGAAGGCAAGAGACTTGGAAGGTCTCTTGCCTTCCAAGTCTTGGAATGTCTTGCTTCAGTTTTGAGGTGAAATGAAATTTATATTTAAAATACAAACAAGTCTTTTAGAGCAACATATATACTATCCCCTTGACCAAACACAAGCTGGCTCATGTGATGTTTCAAAGATGGAAGAAGGGGTATATACAAGCCCTGCCGTTCAATGCCCCTGCTCATACTGGTTTCAGCCTCCCTGTTTCTGACCTTGTCTTGTGGAGCAGCAAATTCTGCAAGGAGTTTCTACTTCTGTTTTCTTGAATGCAAGAATTCCTGCTTTGTTTCGGAACTCAAATAAAGCAAGTTTATAGATTGCATGAAGCAGCATTGCTCAAATTCAGATAAATGTGAGTAGCACATCTAAAGGGATTTCGAGATAAAAGGGGATTGTTGGGAGTTGAATCAACCCTGTGGAGTAGGCAAAGTTAAGAGGTAGTAACTCCAAAGTTTACCTAGTGGGTTTTCTATCATTATCATTATCATTATCATTATCTCAAAGGCTGGATGTGCATATGTTGGAGGTAGTTTGATGCCTTTCCTGCCTGGCAGAAGAGGGTTGGACTGGATGGCCCCTGGGGTCTTCCAGTGAAATAGTACTGGTAAGATTATGTTGATTGAAATTTCTTATAAATGAATAAATTTGGAAATCTTTCTGAAACTTGTAGCAATGATGCCCTGGTTATATTGTATCACTGAAAATCAAAATTCAAGAAGATAGCTTTAGCAGTTTTTTTTAAAAAATGTTGCTCATAAAAACTTTTTTTAAAATTCCAAAAATCAGGGAATGTTTGAAATGTTCTGATATTTTTGGGGGAGGGGGCAGTGGTAAATGTGTTCTACAATTGTAGAACACATCCCATAACCCTAAAAATGAGGGGGGAAAGGAGTTCCAGAAACTTCCCCACTTGCACAATTACATAATGAAAAAGTAACAACATTATCATTAATTATATCATTATAGTTACAATATGGAGCCCTTATGATATTTTAGAAACAGTTTAGAAATGATTTGCTGTCTCCTAATTTAGTAATAAACATTGAAACTTTTTTTCATTGATTGCACAGGCCTAGTATGTACACACCCACATACATGTATATACACACACAGAGAGAAAGCTCCCCCCCCCCCACTCCAAAACATCTTGGCTGGGAGAATAAACAAAGAGAGCAATATTCATGGATGATGGTGGAAACAATGAAGCAGTTGTGTAGCCCTAAGTCAGAAGCTGCAATCATGGAATGTTTCAAAATACCACAGGAGGAACCACCTATGGTGGTTAGGCCCTAAAAGACTATGTTCCATGACAAAGAAAGAGATTTCACAGGATGGAAGGCTTGTACTTGTTTCAGGTATAACCCCCCCCTCCCCCGCCCTGCCTTGTTCCCTGCAATCTAATTCTCTTCTTAAGAGATTGACAGTTTCTGTCCTGCATTATCTGTTTGACTCTTCCTGTTAGTAATGTTGGTGCTGAATAGGCACAAACAGCACAATGCTGCCATTATGTGATCCCAGCCTAATTCTAGTCTGTCTCCTTCACAATTCCTCTGTCATCTTAAGTAAGACTTGGAACTCCTTGAAGCCAAAGTTTTGTCAAACACTATATGCATTGACTTTACTGAATACATTTGACTCAATAAGACTTTTTAAAGAAGTATTTTTCCTTCCAAGCAGAAGATGAGATTGCTATTTGAATGCACAACAAATTATTTTCAACTTCTACAGTTCTACAAACAGAGTTTTCAGATCTACATAGAAAAAAGAACAGTGACTCCAGCCCAACTTTTTCTTCATGTGCAACTTGATATGACTTTAATATTAATACTTGGTCACTCATAGAAAAAGTTGTCACTGCAGATGACAATGCACAGACATGCCAAATTCTTTAACCATTCAATTCAATGGAGCTCGTTACTGGGCTTCTGTTTTCCAAAACTGGAACAAGACCCCTGATTATTCTTTCTTTCTTTCTTTCTTTCTTTCTTTCTTTCTTTCTTTCTTTCTTTCTTTCTTTCTTTCTTTCTTTTTCTTTCTTTCTTGGCTTCTTTGACAGTCTCTGTATACCCAGAATATCTCCAAGGGAAAGGGAATGCCCTCTGCACCTGCAACAATTTCCCACTATGGCATCACAGGTTGGAAAAGCGTGATTCAAATAGGATTGTTTTGGATTGCATCATAAGATACAAGAGCTACCTTTTAGTTTATTCCCCAGCTTCTCACACTCAGTTGTGCCTCCTTTTTCTCCCTTCAGTGTTTTCTTCCTTTAGGCTCCTTTCTTTTTAAAAGAACCCCTTTTCACTTCTGCAAAAATTATGCCTAGGGTGTGAAATATTTAAACAAATAATGCCCTCAGCACAGAGAAACATATCTCTAGAAAATGTGCTCAAGATTTCTTTAATTCGTTATAAATAAAGGGGGAGAAAAGCGGGGGGAAGCCTACCTTCTATCCCACTACAGAATGAAGAGGGCAAAAGGAGAGAGCCTGCTTTTAGTATATAAATATACTTTTTTAAAAAAGCCATAAGCATATGTACACTTTGATTTTGTCATTTGGGAGTTGTAGTTGCTGGGATTTATAGTTCACCTACAATCAAAGAGCATTCTGAACTCCACCAACGATGGAATTGAACCAGACTTGGCACATAGAACTCCCATGACCAACAGAAAACTGGAAGGGTTTGGTGGGCATTGACCTTGAATTTTGGAGCTGTAATTCACCTACATCCAGAGTGCACTGTGAGCTGAAACAATGATGGATCTGGATCAAACTTGGCACGAATACTCAATATGTCCAAATGTGAACACTGATGGAGTTTGGGGGGAAATAGACCTTGGATTTGGGAGTTGTAGTTGCTGGGGTTTAGAGTTCACCTACAATCAAAGAGCATTCTGAACTCCACCAACGATAGAATTGGGCCAAACTTCCCACACAAAACCCCCATGACCAACAGAAAATACTGTGTTTTCTGATGGTCTTTGGTGACCCCTCTGACACCCCTTTGTGACCCCCCCAGGGGTCTTGACCTCCAAATTGAGAAACACTGCCTTAGTGGTCTCTTCCACTTCTATAATTCTATTATTCTAATTCATTTCTGGACAAAGGCAGAGATTTTATAAGAGAACCAAACATGATACTACGTCCTATTTGTTGATGTTGCTTGCAAAAGCAATAAAGCATTCCACCCAGGTGTTATCTGCAAATTACTCTTTCATCCTTTTGTGCAAGAACATTATTTCAGAATCAGTACAATTTACTGGGTTGCATGATAAAAGACAGAATGAACGTATAGGAAGACAAGAAGGAGACCCCTCACTTCCTTCAGCCAAGAGGATAGTTATGGAGTGGTGGTGTTAAAATTAAGGCATTGCTCCCAAATAAGAATTTTGAACTATGCAAATGAAATTTCCAGCATTGCAATGGTTGAAATCTGTGTTTGAAATCATTCAAACATAGCATTCTTCCATTTTCTGTAATTACAGAATTATAATCATTTTCCGAAATAACACCAAGAGTACCAATTACCTTTTTGGAGGTTTCTACAGTTGCTTCTGTTTAATCTGCATGCTGCATTGAATGTGGGACGCTTCACTCTCCCCCATCTTCCAACTCTGGTGCCTGATAAGTAAACACATTGCCTATCTCCCTTCCTTCTCCCAGTTCCCCCCTGCCTCAACTTCCCCACCCCAGGCCTTTCAAGCTCCTCTGTGATTATTATTAAATGCTGTCCATCTAGCCAGCAGCTGTTTTTTGTGGGAAATGGGCATTTTATAATCCACAATGCAATCACAGCACAGCTGTTCCAGCAGATTAAAGAGGGAAAGATTGGTGTTGCAGGCTCGGATTAAGGATAAGAAGTGACCTCCATTCATGTGAGGAAGGGCAGAGAAGGATATTTCAGGGAAAACAGAAAAGGAGTCTGCAGTCATTCATATACAGTGGCAATTCAGCTGGTGACAGCTTCAGCATCAGCTGGTAGGTCCTAGTCCTTAAGCAAAGGGTTCACAGTGTAAAAGCAATGGCAGCTACGTTTTGTATATGTGAGCTGATTTTCTGCCCACTAGTGCCCACAAGGCAATATGCAATAAAATAATAATTTATAAACCGAATCAAAAAAATCATTCTTTAAAAATCGGTTCTAAAAGCCAAAGGCTTAACAGTTTTGACTGCTCAATTGAAGGGAGTTCTGCAATCTAGGTTGTTGTTGTTATTGTGGTGTGCCTTCAAGTCATGCCTGACTTCTTCAGGATTCTTTCAGGATAGGAGGTTGTCTTTGCATCCCTCTGAGGCTGAGAGCGAATGATGCCTAACATTACACAGTAGGTTTCCCTGTTTGAGGCTACTATGTCAGATTTACCCATCTGGGGGTTCTCTTGGATTCAGCACTGTTGCTTGATGCTCAGGTGACAGTGGTGGCCAGGAGGGCCTTTGCACAGTTAAAACTAGTGCACCAGCTGCAACCAAGTTGTTAAGTCTGACTTGGCCACGGTAATCCACGCCTTGGTTACATCCAGATTGGACTACTGCAATGCACTATACATGGGACTGTCTTTGAAGATGGCCCAGCATTTCCAACTAGTACAACGGGCAGCAGCCAGGCTCCTAACTGGAGCTAATTATAGGGCACGCACAACACCCCTATTAAAACAGCTTCACTGGCTGCCGATTAGTTGCTGGGCCCAATTCAAGGTGCAGGTTATGAACTATAAAGCCCTATATGGTTCAGGCCCCGCCTATCTCCGCGATCTCATCTCTCCCTATGAACCAGCATGAAATCTAAGATAATATTAAAATAATAATAAAACTTTATTCATATACTGCTCCATCTCCCCGAGGGGACTCAAGAGCGGTTCCCAAGTAACATCACAAAACATACAGAGTAAAAACAACATAACCATAAGATTAACAAACAAAATATAAGCTCTACTGGGGAGGCCCTCCTCTCACTCCCACCACCGTCTCAAGCACGGTTGGTGGGGATGAGGGAGAGGGCTTTCTTGGTGGTGGCCCCTCGCCTCTGGAATGCCCTCCCTAGGGAACTAAGACTGGTCCCATCTCTTTTCAGAAGGACTTGAAGACATGGTGGTTTTATCAGGCCTTTGATAAGGACTAGTCTCAGGCCCGATGCCCCTGGCCTCTAGTTAAGGCCCAACCAGCACCTTGTCCATTCCCACTCGTTCCTCCTCCACACCTTCCTCTTCAAAATTGCCAGAAGGCCCTGTAAAAAGTAACCCCAGGCTCTAACCTGGCTAGAAATCAGGTCCACTCCTGGCACTTTACTCATTCCCCTGACCTTCATTACTTCCATAGGAACCCTGATCAGCCCTTTCAACCTGTCCTGGCCCACATATAAGGGGGGCGTTTGCACAATGGTTTATGAAATTGGTTTGTTTTTAATGCATAGGATTTTGTTAACAGGTTATGTTTATATTTTAATGACCACTCTGTATGTTTCATGTTTGTCTGTGGAAACCGCCCTGAGTCCCCTAGGGGAGATAGAATATAAATAAAGTATTATTATTATTATTATTATTATTATTATCTTAATTTTTCAGCAACTTCTATTCTACAATTCTCTTGCCTCAAACATTGAATTTGAGCCAGTGGAATGGGTACTATTATCTGTCTAACTTCCAATGTCCCCTTCTCAAAATCTTCCTTTTTATTTCTTTCCAGAAAACAAATTTAACGAGGCAGACAGAACTACTACACAGTGCATTTAGAGTGGTACTGCTAGTTCTCCCCTGGGAAGGATCCAACGTTTCCTTCTGAGCAAAGGCAAACTACATCCCGTGACTGTGCAAACAAATCAATTGACTGTAGGGATTTGGGATTTCTGGATGTCATTGTTCTAAAATTATTTTATTTTTTTAAATCCCTGATATGAGGATTGCGGAAAGTTCATGAATCATGGATCAGAAAACACAGAAACTGTGCCCAATTGTTGGTTGCAGAGCTTGTTTCGTGTTAGATTACCTAGGATCAAAATGTCCTTTAGGTGCACTTCATAAGTTGCATAACAGCCTAACTGGAACAGGGAGCGTTTTTTTATAATTTGCTCACTCGAGGGTAGATTAATTCACTGGGCTCCTGAGGGATGAGAGCAGCTTATTGGTTTCCCTAAAATGTTGCCACCCCATCTCTAGCTTTATCTTTATCCCTGTCTATCACTGTACGTTCAGTATGATCAGGAATCCTGCTTTATTAAGAGGGCTTGCCCTGCCATTAGGCAAAATGAAGTGATCACCTAAGACTTCAGATGTTGGATGTGAGCAATAGAATATTTCCAGATTTCCCCCTCAACTGCTCTCTTTGTCAAAAGATAAACTTGCTCAGGTCTCACAACCTTTCCTGGATTCTCTAGGTAGCCTGCTGCCTTATGTATGGTGATCTACACTGACCCACTGTCAGTAGTGAAGAAGTAGTCCACTTGGCTACATATATATATGTAGGTGGAGAGATTAAAACCAGGGACCCAACTTGTCCTTTGCTTCAGTTAATAAAATGTTATGGATTTAGGGCCTTATCACATGCCCTGAACCATTTTGCTAGCAAGCATGGGGGAAGTGTTGCCCAACTGGGGCAGAAGTGTGCTGCCTCAATTGGAGTCAGCACAACACGGGAACATTTCTTTCTTTTTAAATATATATATAACCATAATTATCATACTTTTTCCTTTTTCATTCCCTTCTCCCTCCCCACTCCCACCCCCCCTTCCCAGTTCACAAGTTAATCCTTTAGTTTCCCATTACCTGAGCCAGGCCCATAGCCAGGATTTTGTTTCAGGGAGGGGGGTTGAGTTTGGTTCGGGGGGGGGGGTGAGTCTGAGTGAAAGAGGGTCTACCCTAGCAAACCTTTTGTATCGTTACCCCAATACCCCATGCATATGGGATATATTGAGCATGGTGATCAGATCATGATATGAATAAACATAACAGTTTAAATAATGTATCAGTAAGGCCTTCTCGCGGATCACCATGAGAATTTCGGGGGGGGGGTGAAGCCCCCCAAGCCCCCCCCCCGGCTACAGGCCTGACCTGAACCTTCTTTCCATTCTATCCAATTTTTCTTCCAGATTTCATCATCTGGTTTAACAATCCAAAACACAGGAGCATTTCTGTGTTGGACGCGTCCACGCTGGTTGGGGGTGGTGTTGGGGGCAGGGCCTCCATCAGAAGTTGAAGGACATCATGCGATGGACTGCATTTCCCTCTGTCCCTCAACTGGCTGGCAAGCATCCTAGGATGCTTAAACTGGTAAGTGTGATGAGGTCCTATGAATTGCCACATCAGGAGTATTTCAAGCCTTTGGTTTTCCAGTCAAAAATTGATGTCTAGGGACACCCCCTTGTTGATATCAGGTGAGCCTGGTGATAAACTATGACACATTAAGCACCAGGAACAGTGGTTCAGAATATGTAATTTAAATAATTAAAATAAATAAAAATATAAGAAAATATTTCTTGGGTTGGAAATAAAAATGTCCAAATTCTGCACTGAATAGAAAACACACGCGCACACACACACCTTTTAACATCTTCGCATGCAATGCTTTTAAAAACACATTTTAAAGATTTACTTCAGAAGGAAAACATCTGCTTGAAAGCAGCTTGTAGCAACTTTGGATGTCTATTAGAGACAGAAGATAACAACGAGAGCAATTCTGTTCCTTGGAAATCATCCTATGTTTCCTGGAGGTGGAATTCTGTTTAAAATGGCATTTTTACTATGAATTCATGAAAACTCCAAAAGCAGCCCTGTGGGCTGGCATCTAAATTCAGAGTGGGAACAGTAGTGTTTAACCTGGCTGTTATCTAATTGTGCTCCAATGTATGTAAGCAGAAGTCATTTTTCCATCCTTCATTTCTCTCCCTATTTGGATAAACCAACAGCAAATGTCCCATCCTGTAGTATATTTACATCCTAGTGTATCACATGCCAGTGTATCTGAGAGAAAGGGGAGCAATGGCAGGACCTCCTTTGAATAAATCTTGCCAAGAAAACCCTTTGAGAGGGTCACCCTAAACCAGACAGCTCTAAGGCTCAACACAACAATAAAAACAACTTCATGCTCAAATATTTTTCTATTTATATGTTTGTTTGTTTTTTGCTGTTTCCTATCCCAAACAGCTTGTGGCTCTGACTGTAATAGGAGCAAAAATCAACCCCGGACATCAAAGCTGGCAGAGCTCTTCAGAGCTCCTCATGCAGTTCTCCTTTTCAGCTATATTCGGTGCTTTCTGCAGTGGTTTGATAGGGTTTCTTCCATATTCCTAGGAAAAGGGGAAACAAATACTTCAAAACCGTGGAAGTCGTAAGAGCAAATAGAAAAAGGTACATAGTGGCTGAAAAACTCTAAACAGATGTGCAGCCCTATCCTGGCACTGTTTTCTCAGTGCATCTGATGAAATACCTGTTGCCTCCAACTTATGGCTTCTCTTTTTTTGCCCAATTGAGTAAAAATATGCCTCCCGAATGGTTCTTTGACTCATTGGCTTCTGCAAGAAGCATCCCTTCCAGGGCAATGAAGATCAAGAGCGCCCGACCTCTCAAAGCCAGCGACAGACTGCAAACGACAGATTTTGTTTTGTTTTCCGTTTGCTTGAGCCCTAAGTAATTCCGCTCAGATTGTAACCTTTATTTAGCTCTTTAACTCTTCCTGGGCAGCAACCTTGTGATGTGCATTACTAGCTTGTAACTACATTTTATTAGGAAATGCTCTAGGGTTTTAAAGATTTGATAGGATGAAAGATATCAAATCGCTTCAGAGATTTTGAGATAGGAAATGA